CGGCAGTACAGAGACTTGTCAAACTATTTTTCAACTTTTGGTATATGACATTAAACTCACATGATTTTAATCAGCTATCTAAGGCTTGCCACAGCTTCTTTGGGCCTTTCATAAAAACTTGTGTGCAAAGCTACTGGTGTTGTTTATACCTCCACTCAATGTCCCTACGTCTCAAATCTCCTATTATGCTATTATAGTCTGAGTGAAATGGAATGAAGGAATGGTAGTAATGGGTAGACAACCAGTGACCACTGCAGCTTTGTCAGCCTGTCTGTGCAGCATCCAGGAATGCTGATTTACATCTCCACTGCGGATAGACACTTAATTTGTGTTATGTGTATCCAAGCACATTCCTGCCAGGGGACAATAGACGGATAGAGGTTAGAGTGGCAGGAGTGACTCGTTCTGTCTGCAGCAGCACATGGGTTAGAGGGATTTTTTGGTGTGTGTCTGTGTGTATGAGAGAGACTTTGCATAGCTCCTGTTGTTTGTTTTTGTCTGTCCATCTTTGCCTGTGCTCATGTTTGTCCTGACACCCACATTACCAAAGCAGACACTTAAGCCTTTGCCATATGAATGACCTAATGACTCTCTGTTTACTCCAAAGTTGTCATTGCTTTGGTTATGACTGGCTGATATATTACTGTCTTTTACAGGAAACCTTGTTGCTAATGATTTTCTCATGGGACAGGATTAAGCAGTGAAGCAGGCATTAGACATGACATCGTACCCAGGATGGAATTTGGCTGGTTCATTGACTCACTGAATATAGCTTACAGTTTAGGAGGGAGGTGATGGCAATTCTCAGAAGTTAACACCATTTCAGAATGTGTCAGTCACATGTTTGGGTTCTGTGTCTAGTTTCCATGGTAATCTGAAATCTGGGAGATGGGATTTCAAAAAGTTCATGTGGTACTGATTTTGCGAAAAGGCCATACATGGTCCCAACATGGTCTTTGTGGATTTTTATGTCATCATTCTGTCCATCTGATATTTTAGTGGACAGGTGTTCTCTGTTACTTTAAGATGACTCACTATTTCAGCAGTGTTTGATTTGAAAACATAGGTCAGCGCGTCATTCTGTGCTCAACATTCAACAGTGTCTTTAGTCATTTAACCATATTTGATTGTGTCAAAGTCAGTAAACCCAGTGGTAACATGGTACTACATCAAGTGTATCAAACTTCAGCTTTCAATATTTCTATAAGGCAAGTTATCTCAGTAGTGTTGCTATGCAGTCTGACCAAAGACATCAGAGCAAAAATCAGAGTTTATTCAAGTCAGGCAAGGCTGGACAGTCTCATTATCAAATCCATCACAAGATTCAGCTCCATGTAACTAAGATTAATCATCTATGACTTATTTAAATTACTATACTGGGACAAACGTGTAACTGTAAACTATCATTTTGATGCAAGCCTGGGAAGTACTGTCAAGCTGAAAGACTTCAGTAATTTATGTTCAGTTAAATTGTAAAGAATTAGGATGAATAATTGTATTTTGATTATTTTGATGATTGTGAAATGTGATTTATGTTTGTTTAGAGTGTTTTATTGATATAGCAGTACCATTGGTCAAGTCAAGTCCAAAGAATTTGGATTGTCAGGCTTCCAGCCAGAGTTATTATTGGAAAGCAACAGTATGACACGACCTTTAGTTAAAGCCTGCTCACTATCAGTCAAACTGATAACGAACCATACATATTCCAATGCAGTCACAAAATGACAATAGTTTGTGTGGTTGCAACCACAAACTCAGTTTAAAATGCTCATGTAGATTACTCTGGTACCAAAGCAGGAGCCTTGCAATATGCACGAGGCTAAATGTTACCATCAACTCACCATAATATCAATCTCTCCCTGGGGATGAAAGGGAAACGAAGAGAGATTGAGATTTCAATTTCACATTTCTTTCTCACTCAATACCCAACTTGGGGAATTCTCTTAATATAACAGATGGGTTCTTAGTTGGTTTTGGACGAAAAGTCTTCATCTCCGAGCCAGCTGCTGAGGGTGAGTGTAGGAGTTTCTAAAAAGATTTATTTGCCGATGAGATTAAACTTTAACTACAATCTGAGGTTACAAGCTGAAGGCTGGTTTTCCTCAAATCGTTGTTTTTGTGAAGATACTAGTAAAGTATCACAGAGTTGATATAGATATTGGAGATGAATATTTTTCTCGTTATTGTCTAACTAAAGTCTCAGTCATTTCTTTGAGGCTTTTTTGAAACTAGGAGATAATTTATCCTTTCATACTTTTCCTAAGTTTTTCCTATACGTCAGTTTAATTTTGTTTGTCACCTTCACACCGTGGCCAAGGTGACTAACTATACACTACAGGCAGTTTTGGCCTTCTTTCTCCTGTAAAGCCCTGGGAGGTATTTCATCATTTTGGTTCTTGAGGTCATAGATCTTAAAATTAGAGAGCAGATGTGTTGGTTTCTTCACATGCCCGAGGGCACCACAAGCAAAATGAAAAACTCAGTGAAAGATTAACTCCTGCTTGAGATGATTGCAGTGTCCAGTTTTAGGCCTTGTACATCTATGTTCGTCATGTATTCAGTTTACACTTAGAAATGCTACTAATCAAAGAGCAGTGTGATCAGTGATGAATTTCTGTTTCAGAGTAAAGCTCATGTTTTTTCAGATACACTTCGGTTCACAGAGTTCGCCAATTCAGTTGAATATTTGTACTGTAAGACATGGCTTACTTCATGTGCATAAAACAACTATCTACATGTGGTTAACTGGGTTTTCTCAGTGTCACAAAAGTTGGAATATGTCACAAAGAGGCAAAACAGCTTCTTATTTTTCATTCTTGTTGTCCTACGTGTCCAGTTCATCTGTGTCACTGCTGTTATTTTTTCTTTTACTGCCTGAGTCAGAGCCGTGATGAATTAAAACAAAAGCGGCAGTTGCTTTTTGAAGTTTGAGGAGAGACGTTATTATGACTTCTCCGTTAAAGGTCAAGTTGAGCCACAGGCATGATAAAGTGCACAGAGAAAAAAGGAAGGAATAGAGAAGTGTTGAAATAACAAATCCATCCTCGCAGATGGTGCTAAGGCGTAGCAGGGACCTGCAGTTTGCCACCACAAGATTTGAACCATAATTTGTTGTTTTCTTGTTTCGCTCAGAATCTGAAGACTGAGGCCAATACAAAGAATCTAAGGCAGGTTTTCAAGTTGTATGCAAATTAAAAGGTTTCCAGCTCATCAGGAGCAGGGCAATGTAAATTGAGACTGCGAGCAGAATTGCAGAAAATCCCACAATACAGTTATTTTCAATGTTTTCCTCAAACCACCGTGATCTTAAGTGGACTTGATTATACTGTTGGTGCTGGTTTAGAGAATCATCTAGTGGTTCTCCACCCTCAGGCTTAACCTTAACCTCTGCCACCTGGCTGTTTACACCACTCGCCACTTTCCCTGTGAGTAAGTCCACTGAGCAAGAGATCTGAGAAACTTCAGTCATTTCCATGCAGCCAACAGGGAGGAGTGACGATGTTGAAAGAAAGTGAATTCAGGCTTTGATTAATAATGTTATTGTAAAGAAATCTGTCTTCAAACAGTGAGGAAAGACTGCAGTGGAGAGAAACATAGAAGGTCTTGACCAGGGTCCCCCCCTGCTCTTTGACCTCAGAAGTAATTTGTTTTTCTTTAAACAGATTGGCTAAATGTTCAGCACGTTGGAGCAACGACCCAAAGTGTAAATGTCCAAAAATGTGTTTCAGTGTTTCAGTCTGGTCGCAACTCCTCTGGGAGATTGTTGAACCCGTCCCTCCCCCCACTGCCTGTCTCCCCTGTCTTTCTAGACTCTGTCTTGACATTCTTTGTTTTTCTCACGTTCTCTCCCCTCCCTTTCTAACTGTTGCAAGTTTGATGTTGTGTTGGCAGCAGGGCTGACACATAGAGTTCAGTGAGGTGGAAGGTCAGCCATGCTGCCTCAGGAGGGGAGAAGGCTTTAGATCTTCTTGCATATTTATGATTCTCCTCCCGTATTGTGACCATAATCTCATGACAACACTCACATTGTTTGACAAATGAGTTTCCTTGTCATGTAGAGCTGAGTAACCAGTGATGAAAAGTGGACAGATAGTCTGTGAATGACCCCACTGCAGTGCAGGTATGATGGACATTTAGCCAGCCCACTTGCCTTTTGTTGTGCATGTTTACGAATTTAAGTGGAGGGGGCATGCAGCAAAGACTGTAGCAATATGCAGTTCATGATACTTTGATTAAATCTAAGTCAGTGCATTGCAATGTGTATATTGTGTAACTGGGAAAGCAATTAAAACAGCGGTCTACAGACTGTTTGCAGATACAGATGTCGTTGTCTTAGAAATCATGCCTCTTCACATATTTTCAGCCCTGCTGCCATGTTGAGGCCCACAATACAAGGAATTATGTGGAAAATGGTTGGAAAATTGTCACCACTGTAAAGTTGTTTGAATGTCAGAAGACGGGACAGCATCTGTTTATTGCTGTCATCTTGAGTCTGTGTGTTTACACCCAGCCACACACATGGATGTGCTCCACATTGAATTGATGGATATGAAGCTAAAAACATTGAGAGCCAAACTATGTGCCTCTTATTTAGATGTGTGGAGAAAAGTCTTCCACATCCAACCGCACAAGTGCACACACACACACACACACACACACACACAGACACACACACGTGCACACAAACGTACACACACGTGCACACAAACACACACACACACAGCCATAATGATCTTCCACATCAGCTGTTTTCCACCAGCCAGTTTATTGTGTGCGACCTTCCATTTCTACTTCCAACAGCAGCAGGCCTGTTCAGCACCAGTAAACAGGAACTTTGTTGTTCTTCTCTCCCCCCTCCTTCCAGAATCCTCTAAACAAAGACTCTTGTGTTTACTTGCCTTTTGCTCGGGGTAAATAAAGGGCAAGAAGACTAACCTCTGATGTCTGGTGTCTTCTGTCTCTGTTTTTGTGTGTGTATCCTGCTCTGTCCCATTCTGCAGCTGCTGCACATCTGCATCGAGGGATGGGGGAACTGGCGCTGGTCGGAGGCCTTCAGTGTGGACAACGTGGGAACTTTACTGAGAACCATTCAGTACAAAGGCCGCACCGCCTCACTTATCATCAAGGTTGTGCAGCTCAATGGTGTCCAGAAGCAGGTACTGCCAGTTTTTGATGATTCCCAGTTCCTGTTAAATAAAAGCTTTGAGAAAATATGCAAGAAAAGAGACATTTCAGTAACATCTTATTTACATTCTTCACAGGAAATCATATAAACATTATAAATGTCTTTTCAGCTATAGTACCTAAGATATTAGATATGGGAATGAAAGTGTTACATTTGCTGTTCGAGGAACATGTCTGGTTTGCCGAAAAAAAAGTTGCCCACCGGCTTTTTCCAGAGCTTTCCACTTCATCTCGGGGCCTTCATCAGCAGATGGAATTTGTTCAGTTGTCATGGAGTTGTCATGTTTCATATTGCCTGGTAAATGTCTTCTGGCATACAGAAAGTTGTACTTTTTATAATTCTTCTAGCCACATCAGGGTTGGTCAGAATGGTTATAACTGAAGCTTTGTAGTTAGCTTAAGCAATAAAAGGAGAGATAATGAAGAGCATTACCAACCCCAGATTTAATTGGCAGAAAATCCCAGGCATAAGATTCACATTACTAGCTACACTTTATAATTGACAATAGAACATTTGTGGTGCAAGTACACCACAGAAGTAAATAAGGACCAAAGTTTTCATCTGAAAATATAGGAATCCTGCAGAACATCGTGCTGGGGACCTGTAAAGGAAGATCTACACTGAGGACAGGAACACTTTAGGCTTGTTTGTCTCTGCTACGTAACGGACGAAGCCTGGCCTTTTTCCCTGTATCTCATTTCAGGATGAGCACTTTTTAATTTGCATTTTTTCCTGTTTCTATGTTATGATTTAGTAGTTGCTTGGCTAGCAACAGATTGTATTCTGTTTTAGTCAGATCTGTTTTATAGAAATAAAACCAAAGCTTATGAACTTTAAGCCATCCAAAAATGCAATGAGTTCCATTGATCCACAAAGAAGATCACAGGAAATCACAATCCAGCATAAACCAAATCATAAACCAGAAATAGGGATGAATCATGTTTGATTTTTTTTCCACAATTACAAGGCAGTTGCTGTATTCCTGAAAATGCAGAGATGCCATCAGATTATAGCTGTGACACTTTGTTATGTAAATAGTGTCAAGTGTCACACACGTCTCCCTCTCATCCTCCAGACAAAACAGACTAGGCTTCTCACATTCCTGCCTCCATCTGTCCCAAACTTTGATTACATCTTGTTTCCATCGGATCCAATGATAGACTATGAGCATTGGTCACATCTAATTCACAACAAAAAGCCTCAGAGTGGGACAGCTGCTGCCACTACAGAGGAAGTTGGCTCCTGCCTCCATGAACATACCTCAGCTCATGTTTTCTTTTTTAGGGGGGCTTCATACTTAAAGTGCTACAAACTGCTGTCCTCTCCCTCTGTGTCTTGTTTCTCTATGGTCTTTTATTGTAAGAACCTCCTAATTACTCATATTGGTCCCGTATGTTGACTGTTAAATATTTATAAAGCTCTCTCATGTAATACCACATACACACACACGCACACAACTAGCACTTTAAGGCCTGTGGAGAACACTTGCAAAGACAGGTGCATTAGAGCTACTGACAGTTACTGTCACAATCCATTATTGTGTTGAGTATTTTTTTAATCAATGATTTCACGTGTAAAATGAATATAATGAGCTTACATTATCCTAAATGTAATGTTCAATAATACTTTTTTTTAAAGCAACAAATAATGCAATCTTTTTAATACTCTCTAAAACATGCTTTCTCCTATTCTCTTACAGAAACTGTGCAATGATGTGTGTGTTTGTTTCAGCTAGCTGCTGACGTGACAGTCTGTCTATAAAAGAAAAACGAAAGATTAAACAAAAGAAAGATTTAATAGAGGGATTTTCTTCATGATGTAAGACTTGGGGTGTTTGTGTGCATGCTGTAAATGGACTGATGACAGTGACTGTAGAAAACTGTCAGACAGTTAAGAACCCTGCAGAACCCTTTGACAAGAGCACAGACTGCAGTCGTCAAGTTGAATTTGAAGTTTTTCACATGTTAATTTTTTGCAGAACATTTGATAACTTTCCTGATTATGGTAAAAATGTGCAATGCAACCCTATTACTCAACTATATATTTTCCACACAGTAGAAATACTGTGTATTCTGGGCCTCAGCTTCAGTCAAAGTGCTTGTGAGCTGGCAGAACAGCAGCTGAATCCCTTTCCCCTTACCTCTTTCTGATTGCAGGATTGTTTATCCCCATAGCCACATGATGATGATTATTGTGTCTTTCTCCTCTCTGTGATGCAAGTTTTTTTTTATTTTTTTTTATTGCAATTTTCCTGTTGAGAAAAGCTATACAACCTTATCTAGTAATTGTCACACACGGTATACTTGGAAAACAGATTTCTTTTTGTTTTTTATTGTCTCTAATTTTTTACTGACACCCTCTATCATAATGACACCAGCTTGTGAAAACAGACCCTGCAACTGTAGGGAATAAGGTCATTCTGCTGTGTTGTTCTCAATGCTGAACACAGTGTGTACTGTAAGTGCATCTCTGTTTGTTAAGACTCTGTGTGTATAGCCTTCTACATGGGAAGAGCAAATGATTTGTAATTGTGGCACTTCTCTTACGAAACCTTCTCCCACAGGTAATAATCTGTGGACGGCAGGTGATGTGCAGCTACCTGACACAGGACATTGAGCTGCGAGTGGTGCAGCACTACGTGGGTCCTGACAGTCAGACGGTGGTTAGAGAACACTGCGACTGTCTGGAGGCAGGAGCCAAGATGCCTTCCTATGTGCTGGAGGATGCAGAAATGACAGAACTGTGTGTGAGAGCTCGAGGAGATGAAGACTGGTCCCAGGATGTCCAGCTGGAGAGGAGGGACAAGGGCAGCAGCAGCTCTGTTGTACAGGTAGAACAAACCAAAAAGACTTAAATACATGAGGTCAACTAGAGCTCACCTTTTGTCTAGTAAAGCATTTCCCAAAGACCAATCTGAACGGTCTTTACTGATGGAGGCTACCTTAGGTATAGCAAATGTCATTTTTGAAGAGACGTCTTTAATGTGGATATCATCTGTGTATACCAGCAGATGAAAAAGCACATTTATTGACTGTAGTAGCTGTATTGCATATGGAATTGTCAAAATGAAAGCTGTTGAATGTGCTTGCAAACACAGATACGCACACATTGCACACACTACCACTTCTAACCAATTCTCCATCGACACACACACACACACACACACACACACGCACACACATGTTTGGAGCTGGTGACTGGACCACCAACTGTGACCGGATCCTCTTCTCCTGGGTGGCCACAGTGGCAGAGCTTCCATGCTGCTACTCACTGTTAGAGAACAGATTGCGATCTTCCCCTCAGATAGGCTTACAAAGACTCTACAACCAATAACCCGACCATGTTGAGAGGTAGAAAATACAGTTTATGCTCTCTCATAACAACACTAACCATAGACAGGAAACACTAGCTGATATGTGGGCACAGGGAAAGGCTTTGAAGGCACTTTCACACCACTGGTTTAGCGCCAGCTCTGTTCCTGATGTTGCTCTTGTTCTTGTTTTTGTTGTTGTTCTGTCTTTCTTTTCTTTGTCCCTCTTTTTTTCTTTTTTCTTTACAAGCCTTTACAGTTAGCCAGTCTACCTCTCCAGCTTCTGTGTGTGTGTGTGTGTGTGTGTGTGTGTGTGTGTGTGTGTGTGTGTGTGTGTGTGTGTGTGTGTGTGTGTGAACATCTTTGATTCTACTCCAACCTCCGCTGTTATCTCTTCTCTTAAGACGGCCATTCATTACACATAGGGTTGGCTCCAAATGAGAGAGCTGGCTGGACTAGTAGCTGAGTTTTTAGATCTCTCTATCTCTGTCTCCTGCTATTTCACTCTTGTGTTTCCTCCCTTTGTTTTACACTCTCACCCACACACTGGCTCACTAATCTATCTTGTAGTTATTAACTCCTCTCTTTCTTTACTTCATCCTCTGACATCCAGCTTGTCCACCTGTCCTACTCTCTAATTCCCTCCCCTGTTGTTGTCTGTCTCCGTTCTAATCTGGCTGCTGATTTCCTATATTTGTAATCTATCTGAAGTAACTCTTTTCCGTATCTCACCTTCCTCCTCCTTAAGTGTCTTTTAAAGCAGTGTCTTTACTCTTGTCTCAAGTGCAGGAGGTCATCATGACCTTATCCCAGTGGTGAGTGTTTTTTAGTGGAGCCGACCTATAGAGTTTGTTTGCCAAAGTTTCACTCCCTCATCCCAGCAAGGCTGTTTTGCAAGGGCTTGTATATTAAAACTGCATGTTCACTCTGTGTCTTTGCTCCACTCTGCTGTCCCCTCCAGTAAATGAAGTCCCCCGTCTGCCATAAACTAGACCACTTGTAATGTGTCTTGGCATCCCAAGGCTTTAATGAGGAGTGAAGAGTAAATGGGACAAACACCAGTGACACATTAAGAGTGTTCGGCCTTCAGTGGGCACATTCTCAGCCTTTAAATCTTGCTAAGATTTAACTGCGTGTAATGGCCCATTATCTGGCACTAACAGTTGTCAGTCGCCTCAGCCATAATATTCTGTTGCAAGGCCTTAGGGAGACTTAACTTTTAACTACTGCAAGAGGCCAAGAAACAGAGATTTTTAGGACAAGACATGATAATGCATTACTGATGGAAGCTATAAATATCCTGTTGAGGGTAATTGGCTGTAAAGGCATTTAAGCCATCAGATATTCATATTTTACATCCTTACCACAAACACAAACAAGATACCCTTGGGTAAGATTGATCAGTCTCGTTTTGTTAACCTTTTGCAATTGCGGTAAGTTACAAACCGTACTAAAAAATATTACATCCTCCCAGGTAAAGTATTGCTTCTGTATGACTATATTTTGTTGATAGGTTTTAAATTGGACCAATGGATTAATAAGCAATGAGACCATTCACAGCCAATTTATGTCCTTTCAGGTGCCCTGTTCCAGTGGCTCCTTGCTTTATGTGTGGTGTACTCTCATCACTGTTGAACCTGATTCTCACATGCAGCAAAGAGTGGTGAGTAGCCTCCATACAAACACCACAGTGTTTATTTGCAGTATGCACCAGATTCTCATGCTCTCGCTCGATAATGAGAGCAACATATTAATCCCTACACCATACCAACAAATTCTCCTAACATATACAGACAGAGGACATATTAAATCAGAAATTGCTTTTGTTGTTTGCAATGATATTTTCAACACTTTCACACTCACTCTCATCATCAGTTAACTGTTCTTGCTGGTTTAATTCTGCAGAGTTTGTCTGTGATTGGTGATTGTATGAATCTTGTGTTTCAGGTGGTTTTCAGTCCACTGTTTGTCATGAGGAGCCACCTACCAGATCCACTAATTGTCCACATAGAAAAGAGGAGTCTCGGACTGAGAGAAAGCCAGCTGATACGTGGACAAGGCCACCAAGAGCCCCTGTTAAACACTGAAGCTGATCTCACCCACCACCTCACTTTTCAGGCCAGGTAAAAAACAATAAAAAAAAAAATTTACAAAAGAACAAAACCCATGGAGGAAAATCTCTTTGGATAATATTGGTCTGTCTATTACATATTTTTCCCCAAAATGTACAGTAATTTGCAACACTTAAAAGGTAACGTCAGTCTATGAAATACTGCCAACTATCAGCCTCATGACCAAGTGCAAACATCCACATGATGACTAACTTTTCTGCGTATCCCATTATACACTACATTAACACATCAGACAGTCTCTCTTAATGAGGGAACTGGGCCCTTGCTGCGAGGCTACTTCATCTTCTGTTTCCATCCTTGACATTTTTTCACAACCAGAATGGTTCCTAACCAACAGGGTATACTCAGTGGCAAATCTAGCTCAATTTGGCAATTAGACAATTTCAATCCAGTACTGTATTATATCACCAGCAACTAGCTCATACAGCTGCAAGTGAAAGAGTCTAACTCTGGTCTTCTGTAATGGGTTTTATATGCCTCCGTTCAGCAAAAAGAGAGAGACACTTACTTAAGATCTTCTCACACCACATTCTGGTTTCTGTGAGCCAGTATGAAGACATGATCCAGGGGAATCCATGCACACTTTAGGGGAAGAGGAAGCCAGCTTGGCAGCGGCTAAGACACAGCTTCAATTCCAACTTGTCAGGTCAGACCATAAATACACCTCATTTAGATATGGGCCCTAACGCAGAGCAGGTTCTGGGTTCAATATTGGCTCAATATTTCTTCATATGTGTAGATGCACGTGTGTGTGGAGAGAAGTGAATGTGTGTATGCACATGTTTGCGTGGGCAGATGAGTAGTGTGTATGCATGTGTCCTTGTATCTGTGTGTGGTCTCTGTCTGTCATTGTCTTGGTTAGTTTTGGGCCAGTGGAAGTGTGACAGTCGGCACTTCATCATGGGCAGAGTCTGTCACATACATCACTACTTCGCCTGTTGCTGTGTCCCATTTTGTCAGTGTGTGTTCACACTTTCTCATACTGTCCGTATCCTCTTGTAAGAGACAGCTCTTTATACAGTTTATCATTGCAGGGTCCGCTAAGTAGAATCAATTGCCACAACATTTAGTTGCATTAACATTTGCCCATAAAAGAAATGCCATGCATCTGCAATTCATATGTATGATATATGGTCTAATACCATCACCACTATACCTCATGTGTCATGTCACATCCATATGAATGGGATATACTTTGGTCCAAAGTGTCTTTCAATGACATGATTGTTTATGTTTCAGTATGTGTGGCCCCAAGGGAAATAACTACCACATGTACATACTGTGTTGTTGTTGTTCCTACTGTATTTGCTATCTGTACATCTGTAATTTATGTTGTTTTATGTGAATGCATGGGAAAAAATCACCATTTTGGTAGCAGCTAGTGGTGATCTGAATAAACAGAGTAAACGTTGAGTGTAATTGACTCCCTCCGAGAGAGTTTTTTGCTGTAACTGTTGTGTTTAGATATCTGGTCACAAAGTTTGTTTTGATTTCAGCTGCCATAAAGGAACCACAGTGGCCATACAGTCACTGGGAATGTATTTGGCCCCTGTTGTTATAGATAAATCCTTTTCATGCGCACAAAAAGCAAGCTCAGAAACAACTAAGTGTCTTGTCTTTCTAGGGTGCAACCACAACGCTCCTTGTGTTTACGATCTGTCCCCTGTCTAAACCGCTTCAAACCGCATAAACTTACATACTCCCCTCTCTTGTCCCCCCAACTCAGTCCATTCCTCGTTCCTCTCCGTCCTCACAAACACACACTACAAGCCACAATTGTAAACAAACACACATTCACATATTTTGTACACATGCACACAAGCCCCCACCCGACCCCAAACCTCTAGGACAGATCCAATCTTGAATGTTCGCTGGTCAACAGCTCATCTTTCCTTCCTGTAATTACACATAGTTGTGGGCTCTAATGGACGAGGTAGAGAGCAGACCTGCGGTCTGCGACACAAGAGACACAGACGAGTCTTAACCAGAACTGTTATGTCCTGCTCTCCTCATATTGGCCACCACATTAGAAAACGGAGGGTTACAATCAGAAGCCTCTTCCACTTCCCCCCTCAGGAACTGCTTTGGATGAAAAGTTTCTTGTCAACACCTTGTCCCTCTACTCTGTCTTGCCCCAGATCCATAAGCAATAGCCCCTGTTTTCCCTTTATAGCACAATGGGCTCTATTAATAAACTACTGCTCTGGGGTAAGGGGGCTGCTTTGCTTTAGCCAAGTGGAACTGGATGCTGCCCAGAGAAAGAGAAGAAGCTATTACAGTGTTTGGATTTAGTTATGTTTTCTTCTTGTTGCAAAGCCATAATTGACCAGTGTCTGGGGTTGAGGTATCAAATAGGATTATTTACTGCCATTTAGCTTTTTCTGTGATCTTTCTGAATTAGTGTTTGTAAGGCAAGACTGCATGTCATGAAAAAAATCCGTTACAAAAGGCAGATTCAACCAGTTTCAAGGTTTCAGGGTAAAAGTGGAGTTTAGGTGGGGGTCACTTTAATTGTACTGAAAAGAACAATGGGAATAGTCAGCTGCTGTCAAGAGATGTCTTGTTTTATAGTGAAGTAAGAAGTGTAGTTGAATTGTTTCTGGCATGAAATAAGTAAACATTCTTCCGAGCCAGATTTGCTGAAAAAACACATAGCAGTGGTCATAACCAGTGCCTTTATTTGTTATTTTAAATATTATTTTTACAGGCATTTTTATTGGAGAGAGACAGAAAATGTGGTAAAGAGAGCCAGGGAATGACATGCAGGAAATGGCCAGCTGGAAATCAAACTAGCAACTTGTCACCCAGGGCGTCCACACCCTTGTGGTATGTGCCTCAAACACTTGTCCGTTGGGCAGGCCCCTGAACCAGTGCCTTTATGGCTCTCATTTCAAGCAGTCAGTTATCTCACCCTCCATCAAAGAGGAGGAGATGATCAAGCTTAGTGAAAGCAGCAGGGCCCGTTGACATTAGGATGTGCAGATTTTTGGGTAAGGATAGCACATGTTCAGGAATCACAGAAACATTTATCTTCTGTTTGGTATCTATTTTACCATCCGAAAGACAAATAAGACAAGACAAGTAAACACACTTCACTCTGAGGTGTTGTTTGAGAAATGTGTAATCATTCTGAGTTTCTGCTTTGTCTCACAGGGAGGATGAAGATGCTTCACACTGTGCTGTACCCATCTCCACCAGTCTAATCAAGCAGATAGTACATAAGACTGGAAGTGAAGACAACCCAGAACACATCCTGGCTGATTTCTACGGTCCGAAGTCCACCAGTGAGCCACCATGGCCTTACGTCACTAAAGATACTGACAGGTAATCTGAATACTGCTTTGCATTTGTACAGCTTAGCCAACTTTTAGATGTGAAATGAATGTTATGTGTTTGTCAGTGACAAATGCAAGTCAAAGAAATTTTGAAACATGATTGAAGTTGGAAGCAAGATTCACACTCATAACATCATGAATGCAAAAGCATTTACCCCCCAAAACACTACAACACGTCATGATTTGTCTAATAAGTCAGCATCTATAACTCTTTTTCAACTTTATTATAGCTCTTATGCGGCAAGCATTAAATCTTGCATTTCATAACACAATTTTCATAGAGACCCACCAGTGTGTTTTTTTTGTAATAGTAAGCTTCTTACAGCATTCCTTCTCGAAGCACAGAGTTGTGCAAGCAAGCTTTTAATGAGGGAAGCTTCTCTTTATTGCTAACTCTTTGTTCACATAATAAAACCGTAAACTGCAAAGACAATGCAGAGCCATGCATCAGATGTTAGCAGCAATCCCGCTGCCGTCCCCGCAGACCGGAGATTTAAGCTGTCATTCTGACACAATCCGCTTTCTCACACAAGTCACAGGGCCTTGCATTCAGTTAAAGCTTGGCACAGGTTTGCAGAGCATGCTGTGCGTGTACTTGATGTATATGTATGTGCGCGCTTGTGTGTATATGTGGCCCATGGATGTGTTTATGTGTAGCATCAGGCAGAACACACATGTGAGTCTGTCCACAAATGTCACTCTTTGTCACAAGGCAATCACATCTTGATAGCAGCGGTAGAAGACGTAGCCACATGTTCACCCACGGGCTCAGAGTTACAAAGAATCCCCATAGATCTGCTGGACATGTAGGCCATATGTCTGCCTGTGGTTGCCTGGGTTTCTCTGCTCTCTATACATATGCAAACACACACACAGATTGTTGCCCTGCACATGTGTATACACACTCCTAACATACGCACACCACCATGCACATCGCTCACCTTTAAATGTCTTACACTGCGTCTCAGTAGAAGGCTGGTATATAGTGTTGTGGTGTTAGGTTTCTCTCTGTCTGGCCTCTCTCTTCCCTATGCTATAAACCCCAAAGCCAAAGCACATTTCCCATTGTAGAAAGTGGCAGTTTGTCTGAAACCCAAGAATCTGCTACCTTGAAGGAGCATCAGGAAAAATGCTGAGAGAAAAGGGGAGAAAATTTGTAATTAGAGGATTAATAGCACTGATTGCTATCTCTAAACACACTCAGAACTTGGAGAGCAAGTGAAAGCCACAGTTGAATTTGTATATTTTTCCTTAATGTTGATAACAGTGATAGATTTGGCTTTTCCGAAAGAGTGTTCAGTCTCCCTGGCAAAGTGGGGAAACCAAACCAACTAAACTGCTTGGCAGGGAGTGTGTAAATATTGTGTCTTATAGGGGCATAGGAAGTTGAAAGTGGTAAATGTTATTTTTCTTTCTCTGTTGGATTTTTAATGGCAGCAAGGCACCTCCGCAATCATTAAACAAACATCTTGTAGTGGTTGGGGTTAGGGTGAGCTCAAGCTGCAGGCAGTGTGTGTGTATGTGTGTGTGTGTTCAGAGCAGCAGCCTCTCAAAATTCACACTTTCAAAACCCTCTTCTCCAGGGTTAGTGGGTTTTGACAGAAGCTGCTGAGCACATTTCATTCAATTACCTTTTTGTGAGCTCTGTAATATGATTTATGAGCCCTGCACTTCACTGTCCTCAGCCTCTAGATCGGTGGCCTATTTAACCACACACACTAACATAAACACCAGTAAATGGTAAAGGAAAGCTATTTCAAGTGCTTTCACAGCAGGAAGTCTTTGGGTTTCTGACAAGTTTGAGATGGCAGGTTGGTAGGTTGAGCAGAGTCCAAGCAGCCTTATGGGAGAGGGAAGACTGGGTCGCCTTTGATGGCTTTGAACTTCAGAGTAATTCTGAGAGAACTGTTTGTTTGGCTCTCTTCTGGCACTCAGCACTGTTTAGGGCTCACAAGACCATGATTACCATGAAATGACTGCTATGTCAGTGAATTGGTGGAAAAATGGCTGTGTGTTGCTGTCTATCTGCCTGTTTGTGTCTCAGCATGCCCATGTGTGATCCCAGATGCCTTGTCAACTGTTCTCTGTGTATGTTTGTGTTGCATAACTTGTTTTCAGACCATTTCTTTCTATGTATTTGTTTAGCCTGTGTAACTGCTGTCAGTGCATTATGGCCTGCATCGTATAACGGCTGTTTATACACGACACGTTTAAATTGACGTTTAAGGCCGTATGCTGCTTCTATATTTAGCAGTGTATAAACATGTCTAAAGCCAAATTACATGAACAGATATGGGAAATTATACCAATAATCCTGGTAAATGAGCATAAATGAGCTTTATTATCTCACTGATCTTACAATAATGATTGTTTATAAATACTACTGTACAGGTAGCTATGTGACAATCTACATATATATGTGATAATAACCATGTGTCTGGGTGAAGTTTATTACAGTCCATACACATAGAGAACCAAGGCTATGTGTCTGGGTGAAGTGTTTACAGTCCATACACATAGAGAACCAAGGCTATGTGTCTGGGTGAAGTGTTTACAGTCCATACACATAGAGAACCAAGGCTAAAACGGTAGAAATTAGTTGTCTTGTTTGTGGTGTTGAATAGCCCACTGGATGGAGTTGGGTTGAGCAAGGTATTAATGCTGTCAGGATCACATATTTAATTCCCAGGTATAGTAGCCTCAAAGACAGACCGAAGCTTGCACTTTGCCTTTGAGATTGGATCAGTGTCTATTTTCTTTCTTGTATACGTGTTTAAATCTCATTGGGTCATTGTTTTAGAATTAAATTCTCTATACTCAAGTGTGACTGGAGTTATGTCTGTAAGTGTGTGTTCTCTTCCCACAGGTCAGTGCTAGAGCCCCTGGCCCAGTGGGACAGTCCTATGCAGGTGAAGTTATCCTGCTGGAAGTCTGGTCTAAACACACTTCTGGTGGAGCTGCTCCCCTGGGCCCTGCTGGCCAACGACTCCCAATGGGACCTCTGGCTCTTTGAAGGGGAGACCATTGTACTGCAGATACCAGCCGGCAAGGTCATAGTTCCACCCAACTTCAAGGTGGGATGCCAAGTACAATATATGGAACCTTGTTTAAAAAAACAAGTGCAGAACTGAAGCTTCAGAGGCCAAAATATCCTGACAGTTAGTTCCAAGCTCCAAAAATGTTTATTCTACATTTTCCATAATTTAATTCAGTCGTATATTTTACTTGACTTCTCTTAACAGGTAAATGTCCATTCCTCTGAACTCCTCACCACCAAATCAATAACCTCCAATTGTTTCCACAGGTTGAGTAGTTAAGAGAGTAAACTAGTCTTCAAATGTAACACTTTCATGTAATTTGCACTGTGGTAAAACACAGGATTCATATTTGTCATTAGAGAAGAATCTAGGGCAAAAGTACTTTGCCAGTAAAGCTAATTTAAATTCTGAAAGACATTAATAGACAGTATACTTGGCAACATTTTTGTCACACATGATCTACAGTGATCTTAATATTGCACTTAAGATGAATTCAGTCTTTACATCAGTAACTCGATGCCTTTTCATGGCATTACAGCCATCATTATGAAACCAGTTCTTTTCTCATTTCAGTCTTGACTAATAAGCACAAAACCTGAGATCATTCACCAGAGCTGCATTACAACAATATTCCCTGCCCGAGTCTTTAACTGCAGCCAAGCTCTGTCACCGTATACTGTAGGGAATGTCTTCTCACTGGCTTCTGAGATCAGAAGAAGTAGTCTGCAGATGGTTTTTCCCCTGTGGAACATAACACACACATACACAGATTTCTCTGTCACTAACCCAGGCCAAAGCGGGAAGGCATTGTATCAAAGAACAAGTGCGAATACGGTTCAGCACAAAGAAACAAAATAAAAAGTTGTAAATGTGTAATAGCCTGTGAAATAGAAAGAAATAAGGCATTGTTTCCATAGTACTCTGTTATTTATCGTGGCACGACAAATGGAGAGAAGACCGTCTCAGCTGGGACTCTCAGAACAGATCGCTTTAATAGGAGAAGGCTGGTGTTTTGATCGGCATGTTTCATGATGCTGCTGAGCCAAAAGAACAATCATTGTGTCACTTAAGCATCTGTGGGGCACTTCAATTATGTCATCCTAACATAGCCAGCAGTACTGGAAGTTTTGTACTCCTCAGTTGCCAGGACTATTTGAAATGCTATACAAGAATACTAAGTTGAGTTGCTGGGAGTAAAACCACAGCTGACCTCTGCATATGACAGTTTCCAAAATGCAATCAAATACAGTCAGTTTTAATAGTAAATGTCGTCTGGCTCGACCGATAGTGATTTGACCTGTGATTCTTTCCCACTTTCCAATCTCACGCTCTCATCCTTTCATTGCTTCATTCCAACCCTTGACCTCTTGTTCCCCACCATCCAGGAAGCCTTCCAGATTGGTATCTACTGGGCCCACACCAACACCGTCCACAAGTCTACAGCACTGAAACTAGTCCATGACTTGACTTCTCCTAGATGGAAGGAGGGATCGAGCTCCGAGGTGGTCACTCTGGATGAGGAGGGCTATGTAGAAGCAGACATCATGCTTGGAGCCTTCCCTGGGAGACAGAAGGTGAGGGGAGCAAAACTCGAACTTTAAAGCTTTTATAAAACACAATCACCATTGCATTCTGAATGTCGTGAAATTTGAAATGATGCATTTCAAACAGTTTAACAGATGTAATTTATTGGGTTCTCAAGGGAAGTCCAGACATAAATCCAGACATGTTTATTAACAGGGATTTTTGTAGCATTTTTTCTTTCGCAAGACAAACCTATTTCTATATTCCCTTAGACAACATTGATACCAACACTAAATTAAATGATAAATTGTAGGGAAGAAAAGAAGAAAAAAGATAACATTGTTGTAAATGAGCCTTAAAGCAGCAGAGCTTCCTAATAAGTGCCCATTAGATACATAAATAAAATTTACCTCTTGAAATAATTTTTTGAAATCTCAGAATTTTACATCAAGGCTGTAATGAGAATCAAGAAATGTTTGATAGTGCATTGCAGTGTAATGTCATTTATTTAAAACACGTCTTGCTTTTGAGTAGATGTTGAACAGAGTTAAACTGAAATTATTCTTGAAACACTTTTTGTTTCAAGAATAAGTGTATTTACTAACACCTCAATGTCACTAGTTTTTCTTAACACATGAAAATGATATACAGATCTTACAAAACATAATTCCTTTTTTTATCATTTATTGCTGACAGCTTATTGTTTGTTGTTTCTTCTGTAGCTGTGTCAGTTCTGTGTGTCATCTGTGGTGAGACACGGCATTCAGATCCTACAAATAGAAGACAGAACAATTTTCGTCAACAACACTTCTTACACCGTACACTACAGGCCTCTGCTGACTGACCATGCACTGGGAACTGATGACCAGGTAATGTGAACGCACACTTTTTCTCGTTAGTGCCGTGAACTGAGGGTTTCTTTGAATCACACTCCGAACTGCCATGCACAAACATTTTGCAAGTGTTACAGAGTACACAAGATATCGTCTTTCACTTAATAAGCCATCAGCTATGTCAAGTATGAGTCTCTTGTACTTTTTCCACCTTTGTGAAAAGATGAAACAACTGCTTCTGTTGGCATAGTGTTACAACACAAAAAGTCTCAGACTATGCAAGTAATATATTTTATACATCATGACACCTGTCCAGTCTCTAAGTCTGCATCATCATAGCAGTTAGTTTGAGCTCTAAAACACTGTGGAAAACTATGCATTTTTGTTCTATAGCTTCATTTCCATACTGCTGTTTTATGACCATAAGCCTGTGTGTGTGCTTTTTAAAGCATGTGCATGGTCCTGCATTGTATCTCTCCTGTCCTGCTGAAGTTTCTGAAGCTTCGCACATACGCGATATTCCCTATGCACATTACAGACACACACACACACACACACACACACACACACACACACACACACACACAAACACACAAACACACATCCACCCCAGCACTACCACACATGCACATCGCTGGGATGTTGCAAGCCGTTTTCCATCAGATCATGTTCCTCCCCCCTCTCTCCCTCCACCGTTCTCACCATGTGGCAATGGCACTTCATAGGGACATTAGACAAACACCCAGAATTGGATGCAGGTTTCCAGTCTTGCTTTCATCTGCTGCTTGTCCCCAAAGGGAGCAACAATGTTGTGATGTCATTTAACGAGCCTTCAGATCCCCTTATAGAAGGATGGCAAAGCTTGCCAGTTGCCACTAATTGACTGAAAAACCTTTTAAAAAAAGAGCTTAAAAAAACTAAAGAGCGGGCGATGGGCTTAACAATAACACAGACCACAAACAAGGCAAGGAATGCCTTTCTACTTGGTCTATTCATCATGCTTAGTGCCTAATCCCTGTAGTCCTCTACTACTCACTGCTCACTGGCTGCTAAACCAGCACAGCAGGGCTTCTCTGCTACCAATTTAGCGCTAAGCTCAGTGGGAGAAAGAATAGAGTACAATAACAATGTGGTTTTGCGATGTATCTTTTGTTATAATCACTTGCATCTTCTCTGCTCTCTGTCTTTCTTTTCTTTTTTGCCTTCATGTCCCATCTCATATCCTTTTTTCTGATGATTTTTTTTTGTCCATTTCTTCTTGTTTATTCTTTTTTGCTCCCCTTACCTCCACTCTTTCTGGTCTTTTTTTTCCATCAATCTTTTCCTTTACTTATCTGTTTTTTTCCTATCTCTTCTGTCATTTCTTTACATTCTCTCATTTCCCTTTGTTTCCTTTCATTTCTTTTCTGTTTCTTTCTTTTTCTTTCCGTTCCCTTGTGTTTATATCGTTTCTTGTTCCCAGGCTTGTGAGATACCAGAGACCACAGTATTCACCCTGCCTCCTTCTGAGGAGTCATCTCTTGCCAAGCCATGTTCAGTGCCATGCTGGGACGTCCTTCAAAGTGTCCAGGGAAAGGTGGAGTTCCCTTTACCACTCAGACACATGCTCTTCAGCTTGTTTCCAAGGCCCGATGCTGGAGTTGGAGCTGCAGCATGGAGCCTCCCTGCTCCCATCCGAGCAGACTTCCCTAGGCAGAGTTTGTCTGTTCCCGGGGAACCGGACTCAGGGGGTGGCCTGAGCAGCAGGTGGGTGAAGCAGAACATTTGTGGTTTGCTGGCCGTGACAGTCCATTTAGAGCAGGGTACCGAAGCCTGGCTGGCACTGGATATAAAGCAAGGAGTCACTGTAGCGAGTCACACTTTGTTAAACACTGGAGATGAAGCAGGAGAAGAAATGCCCTCAACCTTTCCACTGTCAGTCTCTGCTTGTCTTGTGCAACTGATCCCTCTCAATTTCGTGCCTTTTTTTCTCAAGATCTTTTTCTGTCTTTTTGATTTTATTCTTTTCTTCACATTGGGTAGCCATGTACAGTGATACAGTGAGATGTGCACTAAATAGGACAATGAACATGTAATTTCTTTTTCACAGATACACCTTTGCATGCTGGCCAACTTGACTTTACTCATTTACTGACTGGGAGATATAAACAGAAACAGAATTGAGGACATACACAACCACACACACAGAGTAACGATGTGTCACTGCCTGGCTTCAGTTAGGACTTTCCCCATGGAGATTTGCAAATGGACATAGCAGTAATGTGACGTCTGAGCTCTTATCTGTGTGTGGTTAGAAGGGGTTGGGATATGAGCCATCTGCAGACAAATTATTTATGGGTTTGTTTATTTATGTTTTTGTTTATGTTTTTCAGAGCCATAGTACTGACATATCAAGAACACCTTGGGGTGACATATATCACCCTAAATGAAGACCCTTGTCCCCGTATGCTGATCCACAACAAGTGTCCTATCCCACTGCTGTTGAAGGAAAATGTGAAAGGTAGGAAGGTGCAATTCTGGCTACAATGGACACCTCTCCTTCTACTCAGCCCATTACTTAGCTTCTCGGGGCTTTTCATCATCTTAGCTCTGACCACAAGCCTTTTAGCTTAACTGACTTTTTTTTTTCTGTATGTTCTTCTTGTTGTTCATAGAAACTCCAAGAACTGAGGTATACTCTCGTCCTCTGCCTGCCAACTGTTCTCTACACCATGAGCTCCACCATCACTTCTACAGTTTCCCAGAGTGCAAGCAGAAAGAGATGCTCCCCACACTGCTGCTGAAAACCACCTCAGACCACAGCACCACCGACTGGACAGACCCCATAGACATCAACTGCCCCGGCACTCAGGTAAAACTGTTCATGCATAAAACGTGCAAGAGCATTAAACCAACACTTTTGTCGTTTGTTTCCTCTGTAATGGAAAAATGTCATGTGCACTTGTCATTTTAACACAGATTTTCAGCAAGTACTTCTTCTGAGATCTTGCCTTCCTAATTGCTACAAATGCATATTTAGGAATTGAATGAATCACCTCTACCAGTTATAGCAAGACAGCTCCAGGAGCAGCTACATGGAGTCAGAGTTCATTGTGTTTTGGTGGCAAAAGAGTTTAGTCCTTTCACAGGCTTGCAGCTGGTGGTTGAAATAACTGACTAATAACAGCACATTATGCCCAGAATTCCACTGAACCCTGATTTTCACCAGAACTTAACAAAAGCAAGTGTTATATTAGAAATACAAGTTTTCTGCTGTGTATGGCAGTAATCTGGGTTTGGTATGTCACCTTAGTATACCATTACAAATGAAAATAAGGTTTAAGCAACCTTAAGTTGTCATCCTATATGTGTAACTGTGTGTGTGTGTGTGCGTGCCTGCGTGCTTGTCTGTGTCTGTGTCTGTGTCTGTGTGTATCTACTGGGGTTAAGTAGCAGCCCAGCCTAAGTATTTTTGGTCTGATCAGCATAGAGGGTGAGGTTAGCAAAATGTTGAGGAGCAGTGTGTGTAATGTTTGGTGTTGTGTCTAGGCAGCTGTAGGTTGGGGTCAAGGCCGAGGCTGCGTGTCTCTGGTTACTGTGAGGTCTGAGTCTGACCTCTGTGGTAGGGGTGAGAGGTCAAAGGCTAGACTTGTTTTGACTGCTCAGCGAAGCGCTCAGCAGTGATCTGCTTCCTTTCGTCACGTGAACGTCTGAATACTTTGAACCTGAAGTGGTGGAGGTGAAAGTGAAGCACTTGTAACTTCTGAAACATATACACAAAAACGACTTTAAAAAACACTGAGCTGAGCTAGGAATCTGAAAAAGAGTAAAGTTACCTCTTACCTTATTTAAAATGGGTGAAAATGAGCACGTGTGAGACTCTTTGTTCAGACCTTCCAGTGTAGCTCTGTTAAACAAATTCGGGTGATATGAGGTGTATGTCACTTCCATTTAGTTGCACTCAGTTCTTGATTGTTGGTGATGTTCTTGTGGTGCACTTTGTTGTTGAATGTCTGTCTGTAATTGTAATGTCTTTTTTATTGTGGTAGAATTTATTTCACAGTGGCCACAGACACAAAAAGAATTTCGAAAAGGATAATGAACGAAAACTGACTGTCTGTGTTCCGTTGTTTTTCAGGTGGTGTTCCTGCCAGGCTTTGGCTGTCTGTACATAGACGTATTGTATGAGAGAGGCACCCTGGTTCTGTCTCTTGCACCAGAGGGCAGCGTGGACGCTGTAATCAACCAACACAGCGGGTATGTGTGCACAGGCAGTGGTTTTATTGTTGTTGTTTTATGCTCCCTACATATTTTAAGCATAAGAAATCAGCCGTACATGTTGTTCTTCCTAACCTCAAGGTATCTACCCGAGTGCCTTTTATTGTGTTCACTTCAATTTGCTTGATGATTATTGTTAACAGCGATGTTTTCATGTAGCAGCTGTTACTATACTACAAACATGAAGAAGCAGGCATCATTTTCACCACAGGAGGGCAATAAAACCTTCTGGTGTTGTCATGAGTGAAATTAGTCGTACAGTAGAACATGGCATTACAGCTTTATTCCATTACATCAACACATAGCTGCTTTGTCATTTTGGCAAAACAGGATATTAATATAATCACATATTGGGTAAATGTAAACAAATTACCTCAGACAATGATCTTTGTTATGGGCTCTGGTAGGAAATTCATGAAACATCAGCACAAGATGAATGAGTTCGGTCTCTTATTATCCTCTACAAATAATCAGAGTCATCATACACATGCCCAGCTGAAACTTTAGTAATGTCTATGATGGAAGTGTTTCTTGTTTGTACAGCAAAAAGGACAATTAAATTTATGACAGCCTCAACTGTTGCTATATTTTCATGTTTGAAAACCACACTCAGATTTTGTTGTTCATGCTGTACTTTCACTTTGATCATTTCTGTTTGTTTTTAGGACTTCCAAGCTGTCTGTTAGAGTCCTCCTGAGTGAGGCCAGCGTGGCATTAAGTGATGACATCACCAGTCCCTCTGGTTCTGTGGAGCTGCTGAGGCTCACGTTAACCAAACTGCTCCTCAGCCTGGCTCCTGCACCCACCTCCCTTCCCCCAGAGCTGGCAGCTGAGCCTGGCATGGGCGCAGCATCCATGTCAGCTCTGATGTCTGACGCTTCTCTGATCGAGGTCTACTGCTCCAGTCTGCAAGTGGACAATCAGTTGTATAACCGGGCGAGTTTCCACTTCCCTGTGCTGCTGTGCCAAGATCAGAGAGGGGGAGCTGAACCCGGGGGTCCGTGGACCAGTGATGCCAACCCCACCGAGTCCCCTGAAGCACTAGAAGAGTTCAAACGCTCCTGTTTTCTGCAGCTGAGGATTCTGCTCGCTGGGGACAAATGCACTGCAGAGGAGGTTAGATAAATTTCTGTTTCTCTCTCCTGATCTTCACTTCAACTCACAACAGCATAGTGGCATGCAAGCAAATTCCAAGAAAGTGTCGTAATGCAAGCAGATACATAAGACCTTACAATGTCCTACCAGTAAATTAGCAGCTTCTCAAGTAATACTAGAAAATGATTTTAGAAAATGTTGTCATTTGTGGTTACTATACATGACTTGTGTTTAAAGTATTCTATTGCCCTGCTGCCATATGACTTTTCCTACTCAAAGTGTCCAACACAGTGTTCTAAATTAGCTGCTGTATGATTTTATTCTTCCAAGAGGAAAAAAAATATCTTTAGACACTTGAAAGCAGTTCAGCAGCTGTCACTATCTGTAAGACACTGGTAATATATCTGCCCAAATCGCTGTATTTTCTTTCAAAACAATTGTAAAGTAGCAGTTCTCAGAACAATTTTGTGTGTTTCTTCAGGTCACATTCCAGCTCCAGCCTGCCAGAGTCTACCTTGAAGATACTTTTGTTTACTACATTAAGACCCTGTTCAACACCTACATCCCTGACAGCGCTTTTACCTCAGCAGAGTCCCAGAGGAGCAAAGAGCCTGGATCAGCCCCCTCTCTCCCTGAACAGGTGTACTATTCATAATGCTTTTGTTTAGGTACCAGATAGACTGAGTGTTTTCTAGTTTAGTCCTTGCATTCTTCTAATCCTATTGCCACAGTGGAGCCTTTAGCTTGTGGCCGGTACACAGGAAGCAGCATTCAAGCTCAGTATGGCTAACAGCATGCCAACACGTCATGTCTGTCCACTGTTACTGAACCTTGATGTCATCAACGTGTCATGATAAAAAAAAATTAAATTAAATGCAGGACAGGGATAGATCATGACGTTCATCAAATATTGGAATATGCCAGAAAATCATTCCTTATGACCACTGTGATTTGTCATCCAGGTTCTTCAGTCGGTGCAGGCGTTAGTTCATCCTGTGAGGCTGCAGAGGCTGACCATCCAGCCAGTCAACCTGCTAGTCAGCATCCACGCCTCCCTGAAGCTCTACATTGCTTCAGACCACACTCCTCTCTCCTTCTCCCTGTTTGAGAGAGGGCCTCTCTGCACTACAGCCAGACAGCTGGTTCATGCTCTGGCCATGCATTATGCGGCAGGAGCCCTCTTCAGAGCTGGTAGGTCGTAGATGAAGTGAGTTGTACAGATGCTTTTGCCCCCAAGGGCATCACATTCATCTGCTGCTGGATCATTTCCACTGTGAATGTAGTCATGTATTCACACTTGATTGATAATGATGTATACAGGTTATTTTTCACGAGACCACACAGACACATTCATTACCTGCATATTATGGGGTGTCTGTCACAATTTTCCGTGTCGGCTTCCAAATAACTCAAATCCATAGATATTAAACCCAGCTTATGCAAAAATGACCAGAGAGCATAACAGGATGTGTGCTCAAGTGGGAGGTTCTACCATTTGTTCTCACCAAGTTTAGAGTTGAGCTTTGAAATGATTGCACCCAGGGGCTCCCATTGTTTTGTGGCAGAAAGTGCAGTAAAACTGTAGAGCTCCAGGAAGCAAAACCTGAATCACCAGAGGCCTGAGAAAGATTTACATTCGGTCATTGTCGTAATTTACTGTTTTATCATAAGGTTTGACTGATGACTCATGGTTCACACTCTGTTTGGAGGCAGTATGTTATGGTTAATCTTTAAACGACCACTGAATCTAAGCCTGACATATCAGACCCTATAACGGCTCCATACCTCTCCCCTGCGTTGTCCTCCTGTCTAGTCAAAGCCTCCACACATGGTCTGCTTTAACCCAGTCATTTCCACATCAGAAATCACCATTCTGGCCAGACGCTTCCTTCCCGCTGTCTCTCGTTAGAGCCCTCATTTCTGCTCGTATTTCAACATGTCACCTCACCGCGTTCTCCTCTTCCTGAGTCATCATGGAGAGAGAGAGGGGCTCTGGGAAGCATTGCATTCTGTGTCTGATTAACATGAGGATGTACGGTATTATCATCACACATATGCCCACATGCATAAATCCATGCACACACAGGCATGCAGAGAATATCAAAAGGCATATGCTATCTGTACATACACTTTCGTATCTGCATGTATATGTGTGTATTTGAAAGCATGACTCAGCCCTGTAAACATCAGCTCCTGTCAAGGCTTTCGGCTTTACCAAAACCACAACTGGGAGACCATATAAAGCAGAAACCACCACGAGGCCCCACTGGAGTTGGTTTCCTACCATTAGAGTCCATCACTCAAGTGCAAATTGACAGAGAATAAGAGCAGAGCGCGGCCTGGCGTCTTGAGAAATGGCTATTTGATTTTTGTGATGCAATTGTCAGTGCATAAATATCAATGAGCCGTGCCATCTGAAGGGAACTTTATGGTTGAATGAGAGAGGTGAGATAGTAGGAGGTTGTAAATCTAGCTGGGGCACATGTATGATTTCATGCAGGAGCCTGTGGGTGCTTTTCATTATGCTAGCATGTTTCCTCAATTCCTTCACTATTCCTCGTGTTTTAGCTCCTCCCAGCTAGCATGTGAGAGGTAGGAAACACCTGCGTTTCCTCACTCTAAGTTCCTCCATAAGTCTCCTCTCGTCTCAGAAAAAATGCACAGAAGCACCATTTAGCATAGCAAAAAGCACCCAGTGTGTGTTTGTGAGCATCTGTTTGTGTCTGTGTGCACGGGTTTGTGAATCTTGCTGAGATGACAATCTTGATAGAATTAACTGTGTTAAACATATAATCATGATTTAAAATACTTACACACACTTATGTAACTTACTCTGTGAGTTGTTTTTATTGAAAGAGTCTCCCGCTCCGAATTGTTTTTGGCAAGTAGAGGACAGTGAAAGTGAGTTTACTCAGGGGGCATGCATGTGGAAAGTTAGTGCTAAGAGCAAATGTTCCAGATATATTTCTTTTAATTTCTTTTCAATAGTAAACTTATTTTAGCCGTCTTAAACATTACTGTGGGATTATAAGATATGTTCTGTGAATTCAATGTTGTAACACCACTGAGACTCCCTCCAAAAATAATACCGCTACAGTAGGTTTATTTAAATGTTTACTTTAAGTCCAGGTTTTTCTGGTGAAGTTAAACAGAAAAGGAAAAATATCACTTGAAAATAAATAGAAATTCATTTTGTGACCCTATGCTTAAATGTCTATTAGGTTATAAAATAAAATTTAAAAAAAACAGATTTGTGGCTAGTCAGAATAAAAAAATATGAATTTAAGCATTTTATTGATTACACACTATCAAACTGGACATAGATACATGTCCTGTTGCCTCATTAATGAGCTTGTAGGAGGTACTTATGTATTATTGTTATACACAAGTTTAACCATCCAGCATCCTCTGTTGTGGTGTTTCCTCTATCTCAGGCTGGGTGGTGGGATCTCTGGAGATCCTCGGCAGTCCTGCTAGCCTTGTGCGGAGCATCGGTAACGGTGTGTCTGACTTCTTTCGCCTGCCATATGAGGGTCTGACACGTGGACCCGGAGCCTTCGTCAGTGGAGTGTCTAGGGGGACCACCTCCTTTGTCAAACATATCTCAAAAGGTAACACTAAAGTTCACAATCTTTTCACAAATTCACAATTTTATTTAAATGTGTATCAGTCAGTCCCAACATTTAAACCACTGACAGGTGAAGTAATAGTACTGATTATCTCAGTATAATGTCACCTGTCCAGGGGTCTGGATATATTAGGCTGTAGGAGCACAGGTAGTTCTTCAAGTTGACGTGTTTGAAGCAGGACAGCATTTGGTTTTGAGAGACTTTGACAAGGGACAGATAGTGACAGTGAGATGACTCCATGTTTGCATAGGTTACTACCTCTTAAAAATGTTCCAAGGAAGGACAATCTTTGAGCCAACAGCCCAAAGCTTAATGATGCTCATATGGAGCAACAACTGGCCCCTGTGGTCTGATCCTACAGAAGAGCAACTGTAATACCAAACTGCTAACATCCTTAATGCTGCCATGATAGCAAAGTGTCAGAACACACAGTGCATTGCAACTTCATGCATATGGGCATGTGCAGCTGAGGAAGAAGGCAAGCCAGGGAGGCAGTGTGATGCTCTGAGCACCACATATCCCACTTAAATGCAACAGTGTTTCCTGCTGGCAGTGGCCTCACACAGCAGGATATCGCTCTGTGCCACACTGGAAACATTGTTCAGGAATAGTTTGAGGAGTATGACAAAGAGTTCAAGGTGTTGAATAGACCTCCAAATTCTCAAGATCACAATCCAAACGGGCTTCTGTGGGTGGTGCTGGAAAAAACAATCTATGAAGGCCCTACCTCGCAACATCCAGAACTTAAAGAAGGACCTCCTGAGAACATCTTAGTTCCTGATACCACAGCTCTCGTGGAGTTGGTGCCTTGATGAGTCATAGCTGTTTTGGCTGCATGAGGGGACCTACGTGATATTAAGCAGGTGGTTTTAATGTTGTGGCTAATCGGTGCAAATAATCTGATACATAGTTTCCATTTAGGTTATAGTCATGGTGTGATCACACATTTGTTAACGTATACTTTGTGCTGTGTGATGAACAAAAATAATCAAATTAAAGAAACAAAATATCCAAGCAGCAGTAGGCCTTGTGGGAAATTGTCCCTGGTGCAGCTTTGGTTTTTGGCAGACATGGTCAAAAGCACATAAATCACAAGATTTACTGTATACCTCAAGATATGTCAGTCTCCTAATTTGTAAATCAATGAGCAAGAAACTGACCAATTCTCTGATAAATTAGGTTTAATAAAACTGTGTACTTATTTACTTCACAGTTTCTATTTTATCCTGTGATTGATTAGGTAATTTGAGGTTAAAATGAACTTTGTGACTTCTCGCCACTAATGAACATAATGTGTTTTATAATGTCATTGCAAACACTGAGTCTGAACATGTCATATCTTTGTTTAGGGACTCTGACGTCCATCACCAACTTAGCCACAAGTCTGGCGAGGAACATGGACCGTCTGTCTCTGGATGAAGAACACTACACCAGGCAGGAAGAGTGGAGACGACAACTACCAGAGAGCCTCGGGGACGGACTGAGACAGGGACTATCACGACTCGGCATTAGCCTCTTAGGTATGTGGGGATGTGCACAAGCACACAGAGACTCAAATACCCCTCATGTAGTCGTCATTTTTATATCTGAGGTTTTTGCATTGTTTCTAATCAGGAACAGCAGCACACATTTTTCACAACTTTGTCATCATGTTTTAAATTTCAGAATTTGGTTCCAAAACTTCTCCTGGTCACACAACTATTTTTTTCCCCCCTCACACTATTAGTCATGTTCTCGGTAACACAATATAACTCGTCTTAGATGGGAAGTGACAGAAGCAAAAGACTTCTCAACAATCATGCTGTCAGTCACACAATGTGGACAGTTGCCCACATTTTTGGAAATCATAAAGGGATACAGTAACAATGTTGGGACTACAGCAAAAAGAATCATTACAAGTAATAAATGAATGCCAAGAAATACTGTTATGTTTGAAATGAGAAATATATATATATTCTGTATATTTAGTTTTATTACCTTTCATCGGCCAGCCCAATACAGGATCCCTCCTGCCTAAACATCAGGTCACTCGATACGTATGGAAACATGTTCTGCCCACACACATTCATCTGCTGTCCCCTGGCACATACTCAAAGAGGTGCACGCACCGTGGAGTGCACAATTACAGAAAGCTATGAGACAGAGCCATGGAGACAGCACAGTAGGGACTCAATAAACACCCAGAGGGCAGTAAAACTCAAGTCTGTCTCAAATCGGACTCAGAGCTACACAGAGCAGATTGTCATTGAAACCAAACAGCTGCTTACAGTGGATTATAATTCCTGAGATGCACTGTCGATCACATCTGTGTCATACATAAAATAAATGGTCAGATATTATTTGTAGGGCAAAGGCATGTCTGAATCCCTGTAGGCCTCAGATCCTTCATGTCTAACCCTGATTCTGACTTTTTTACTGAAATGAAAAATGGACCGTGGCCTTTTTTAATCTGTAAAAGATGTTTTGAATTCTCTGTGTATTTTGCATTTTGTAACTGTCATTTTTTATTTTGTATTTATTTAACAAAGTGCATTACGAAAGAACTTGTTCTTTCAGGGGCAATAGCAGGCATTGTGGACCAGCCCATGCAGAATTTCCAAAGGAACTGGGAGCTGCAGAGCTCAGCGGGTAGCAAAGCCAAAGGGATGATCTCTGGAGTGGGGAAAGGCATTGTGGGGGTTTTTACCAAGCCCATTGGAGGAGCAGCTGAACTGGTGTCCCAGACTGGATATGGTGAGTTCAGGACTTTCAAACATAACAGCAGTTTAAATAAATTCAGCATGTTTTTTTTTTTCCAGTTTCGGGCTATTTCAGAAGCCATGTTGCAACGTGAATAAACATACGACTAACCATTCTGGATACCAACTGATAGTTGAAGAACTTCTAAGACTGTAGAGAGTAAATAGCTTTTTTAAAGATGCCATATTGTGCCTCTTTTTAATGAATTAATCTAAGTCTCCCATGTCCACACAGTTTGTCAGCCTAAAGTACTGCACACATAGTTCATTTCATCATGACTGTATAATCCTTGGTTTTAGGGTTGACCTAACAGGTCGTTGTTGTGAAAAGCAATGAGATGCTGCTCCTGCAGACATGCTGCCTGCATCTGTGATTGACAGTATGAGCTGAGCAACTATTGGTTTGTTAGGTGTGACATAGCACCAGGATTGAATTCTCACTGGCTTTTAAAGCTGGGATGCGAACACATTTTGGAGGGCTTAAGGATGATAGAAGTAAGCATCTTTATAGCTTAACAGCTCTTATATTAACATCTCTCATCCAAGAAACTTCTTCAGTTCTACTTCAGTTCTGTTTTCCATGAGGCAAAACAGGATATATGTTTGAAATGCTTTTATTTATCAAGTAATTCAAACTACATTTGCAAATGAATACCAAATCTGTGAAGTTGAGATGCAGCCTTGACTCCTTAACCTAAAAGCACCGTAAAACAGGAGCAAACTAATGTGAGGACATGTGAACCTTGTTAAATCAAACACATTTATGAACTAGAGTTAGTGTGTCAGGTAAATCCTAATTACGTCAGTAAGGGATGATCAGTCTCCTCTCTCATCTGTTCAGGCAGGCGCAAGTGTTTATTCAGTCAGGACACAGCAAAGAGCTGCTAAAAGAGCCACTAACACACTCATATGTCTAATCATGCATGCACAAACACTAGTTCTCTGGAGTTATTTTGTGTTTTATTGGGGTTAGGAGATGGGAGTGGGGAGTGGGTCAGGGGTGGTGTGTATTGGCACTAACCGGTCTTGGCTACAGCACATAAACTACCAATGAGGTGAGCAGCCCCATATAAGAGCAAAGCCTCCCCGGGGCCTGGCTCTGATCTACCTGACCCTCTGAGTTCAACACATTACAGCACACGAACTCAAGCAAGCACATGCTGCCAGTCACTCTCCCAGCAAAGGAAAGCTCTATCTGCTGGTAATACATGCAGATCGACTGCATTACCTTGTGTTGTAATTCTGTCACACTCCATGCTCTCTTATGAAACACTTGGATCTACACAAACACCCACTCAGAGCGGTGCTGCACGGCCGAGCACTGCCGCAGTGACATCATTAATGGAGCTCACTGTATTCTTTATGACTCCGTTTTAACTACTTGATGACTTCACTGGCTCGCTGCTGCTGTCGCTCTGCTGACAGCTACAGAGGCTTGAAGGAAAACTGACCACACGCACATGGGTTGTGAACTCACTGTGACATGTATACGCAGGATCATCCGAAACTTGTTTTTCATTTTAATTATTATTATGATTGTGGAGTGGTAACACACACTTAACAGAATGGCACCAGTTTGTTGATATAGTGCACAGAGAATTTAAATATGTGTGTGTGTGTGTGTGTGTGTGTGTGTGTGTTCAAGTTTTATATATCTATATCTATATATATTTAGTCAGCTGCTTACTGTGTTTGTTTGAACAGGGATCCTCCATGGAGCAGGGCTGTGGCAGCTTCCTAAACAGATCTACCTGCCTACAGAAGAGAAGTCTGCTCTGGCTCCGAACAGCCACCTTAAATATGTCTGGTATGACCTCGCAGCTATTTTTTATTCCTGCCGACTGCTTCTTTACTTTTGCCCAGCTCTTCCCTAAAAGTGGGACATGTGTTCTCGCCTCTCCTTCTTTGCTTTACTTGGACTCTCTCCAGGATCTGCTGTTCTTTCTCTCCCCCCTTACCTCTCATCATTTTTGCTGTTTTGTTTTAAAAAAAAAAAAAAGCCTTGGAGGGTTCATTACACCCCCCCAACACACACACACACGCACACACACACACAAAAAAGTCTGGAAAGATGTGGAAAGATGTTTGACCTTGATCCCACACATGGTAGCCAGCTTGCCCTCCCTTTTTCTCATCGAGCCATGTTAAAAGGTTTTTATAAGCACTCTGCCAAAGCCGCCAGCTAGAAATTGTTCTTGTTGTTTAACTATGAGTCTATCCAGAGATGTTTTCCAGTGCCATCAGATGGAGGGGAAACACCTTTCCTCAGTGTGCTGGAATAGTTTTGAGGTTGGAGGATAGTCAGTTTACAGAGATTGCATGTTGTGCCAGGCAGGTTACCTTTGAGTCCTGCATTGTAAAAATACGGAGCGAGCAGCTGTATCTACAGCCCTGCATCAGATCTTAGTGTTTCAGAGATTCCGATATGTTCTCACTGGAACACTTAATATCATCATTAAGATTTATGAGAGGCCTCTGTATCCAGAAGGTTATCAGGAGCTGCAGAAAAAGTATTTATGGCATTTTCTAAAGAATTTTCCGCAATTTAGTTTGGTTTCCATAGCTATCAAACATTTACTTCTAATAGCAGTCAGCGTCAACTGTCAACTGCCATCAGGAAAAAGGCCAAATTTTACATATAATATTTCTTTAAAACATTCCACTTTAGCTGTCATCATCGGAGGGGCTTAGCAGTCTGTTGTGCTAATGTTAAAGGAAGACAAAAAAAATGTTAAAAATGCACAATTGCTGGGATAATGCTCCCGTGTGGTTTTATTCATTCTGCATAGCAGCCGAACTGGTTTCTATCAGGTGTCCATCAATTATTTTGACTACTACAGGTAGCCCAGACACTTGAAAGGTCAGACTGTTTGAGCAGAGTAACACTGAACAGACGCAAACCGTCCCTACTGTGGTTGCTTCAACATCTGCTCTGCAATGTGAACACCTGCCTTCCAAAGTAAACACACCGTCAGAGAAACATGACTGAACACTTCACTTCCAACTCACATATTTCCCAGTTGAACGTGTGCGTAATAGGAACCACACAGAGAACAAGCAGAAATGTAAATTACAGGATGTATGCAGACACGTATGGTCACTCGTATGTGTGTGTTGAGGTTAGCTGGGTCCTTTGTGTGGTCTTGTGTTTACAGAGAAAGTGTGTGTCTGACATTAGGAGGCTTGTCATTATGTGTGTGCATGCGTAAACACAGAACTCATGCAGGGGAAATTGTGTGCTTGTTATTGTTGCCTGTAATACATGTGCTGATTAGGCACAACATTAGAAAGGGCCTTATTTTTCAGATTTGATTGTATGGAAAGTTGTAATTTTCCAGTCGTGTCATTAAATAAATACTGTAAAATGAATGTCCGGCCACAGGAAAATGCTGCAGTCTTTGGGGCGCCCGGAGCTCCACATGGCCCTGGAGGTGACCATCGTGAGTGGGTCGGGTCAGGAGCATGCCGGCTGTCTGCTGCTCACCTCTGAGGTGCTGTTTGTGGTCAGCCTCAGTGAGGATACCCAGCAGCAGGCCTTCCCAATCACAGAGGTAAGTGATAGTAGTCACCAAAAAAAAAACTAATTCTCTGGACGGTTCCTGTGACAGTCCAGTGAACTTTTCTTTCGCTGTGCTGTGCAGACAGTGAAATGAATGTTAAAGCTCTTGCCTTCTGCAGGTGGAGTGTCAGCAGGAGCCAGGACAGCAGGGCCAGCTCACTCTCACGTTACAGCAGCAGACAGTAGCCAGCGACACTGAGGTGAGACTCTGAAAGTAACACAGCTGCACCCGGCTCGAATGGAGGAAAACAGTCATACTCATTTGGAAATCAAAAAATCTAATTCATACTCTGCTTACACAGGCTGTTTCAGTACATTTTGTGCCACAGTTTTTAAAAAAAAGCACAGATGTTAGAATATTTTCAGTATTTTTCTAATATAAGTGATACTTTAATTACTTCCAGATGTGTGTATCTTCACTGAACTCGCCTTTCAAGTCTATTTTTATGTTTCTTCCATTACAGTTTACTTATCAGTGCACACAAATTCCTGAATGTTGATTTAAGCAATGTTTGTAATGTTTGTGTTGCACAATAGTGTTTTCCACCAAATGTTCAAAACCAAAAAGGTTCAAAACAGCTTTGACATTTAGACACGTGGCTCATTTTAAATGTACAGCTGTTGCTTTTACCATCAGGCTCAGTCAGCAGCATATTGTGTGCTGAACCATCTATGAATGTATCTTTAAGGGGCACAAACCTCTAACCTTAACTGATTAGTTGCCACATCAAATTGTTCCTGCATGTGTGGTGTGGTCGTTTTCACTCATTTCTTTCTGTCTGTTTGAGGATTAAATCATCTCCAGTCATTTTTAGTTGGCATGACAACACAGTACTCCACCATGTGTCTTTGATCACTGTTGGACACCACCTGCAGCAGAGTTAACTTTTTCAGGTCCAGAGCAGGATGCTTATCGGTCTGTCTTCCTGCAGGGCGACGGTGTTCGTGAGCGTCTGTCAGAGCAGCAGTATCGGCGTCTGGTGGATTACGTGATGCGAGCATCCCAGTTCCTTTCCCCCTCCACTGCTTCTCTCCAGCAGCAGCCCCCAGTGACGCTCGCAGAGCCGCCGCCTTCTGTCACCAAGTGTTACCGCTACCTGGTGGATCCGGCCTTTGCTAAGGTGTTTGTCAGCAAGTTCACTACTGTAAAGAATAAAGCCTTACACATTGGATTCCACTGATACACAATAACACACCTGTGGCTTTCTGAGAGTGAAAGCTATGATATGATCAGAGCTTTTGTTCAAATTTAAAGTAAGTCTTAAATAAATCTCATCCTCTAAAAATATAACATCACATTTATGTAAAACATACTTTTTAAAATAAAGATGAATATATATTTAGGTAAGTCCATGTGGACGCCCATGCCTTAGGGATGTAGAGAATTCATAGAAATTGTCTTTGTTTTTTTTATGAACAATAGCGATTCTCAGCACACAAAGAACATCAGTGGGATAAAAATTAATTTTATTCATAGAAACAGGATTTGTAGGTTTGGACATTTCAGTGAGCATATACTGTAGTGAACACTAAAACAAATAAGAGTTATGTCAACTCAAAGTTAGAGTTTAGTCAGTGTGAAACCTCCTCAGTGTTACAGACAGACATGTACAGCCAGCAGGAGTCTCTCAGATCAGTTTCACTTCTGTCTAAACAGTCTGTAATGGTTCACTCTGCAGAACAAGCTCTTGGTGTTTACATTCTACATATAATGAGTCAATGTCTCATGCCAATGTTAAGTGCAATTTTATATACATGTTGATGGATGCTAGAGATACCAGCTGTCAACCAAAATGTTTTTATACATGATGTAACATACCTGTTTGACAATAACACTGTTCTTTGTAACCTTATGTTGATGCCAACTCATGATGCAAACATGTAATTGTTGCCTTTTATATTGTTGTGGCACTGAGCTCTATGTAAGATTAAAGTATAATGCCTTTGATGTATAAATGGATAATATATTAATAGAGAAACCCATTTTATTAAAAAAAAATAACTTGTAGAAATGACCTGAAGTGTGACTTTATCATTTCATCCTGTTGTTTACTGGAGTCTTCACTGCAGTGAAACCCAGTCCTGTCTAACAAGCACTACTTTTGTAATCATCTTGCCTGTCAAGTGAAATTCATCGAAACGGTTAAAGTTAGATGTTTGTCAAAGGTGGTTTAGGAAAATATTCTTACATCATGTAAACTCAAACTTCTACTTCTACTTCATCATCAGCATATCAGTAGCCGCTCCGCTCTCAGTTTTCACTCATAGTCCTCCAATAACGGTGTCAGTCACCCCCCGTCTGTTTGTCCCACATGAAGTCAGGTCCAACTTTGGTTTCATTTCATGTCACAACCTCTTGCACCTCCTGCAGAAAAAAAAAAAGTCTGTTATGCCTGGGAGGCAGCATGACTGCTGAGAGTACTTTTATCATTTCTTATGTTGGTCTCATTTTCAATAATTATACAGATGATGACAAACTAAAGGAGAAACCAGCAAAGTGTCGGGCCGCCGTGATTGACCAGAGCAGCTTTAATGCAGCTTGGCACTGTTTGTCCAAGTCTCTGGAACTTTACTGGAAGGATGACCACCATCCTTCCAAAATACATTCCCTCATTTAGTGTTTTCATAATGCTGGTGGAGAGCACTGACTAACACACTGATCCAAAGTCTCCCATAGGTGTTCACTTAGGCTGAAAGTGTGGTGACCGTGAAGGTCATAACAGATGATTCACATTATTTTCATACTCTTCAAACTACTCAGTGACCACTCATGCTCTATGGACAGGGGAAGCGAAAACGCCCAGCTGGATAGTTTCATAATCAGGCTAAAGGTGATCACTCAGAACAACTTTGCAATGATTTGCAGTGATGTTTCCCTCTAACAGGACAAGTGAACTAACCATGCTGGCTAAATGCTCCCCACTGCATGATAGAGTCACTGCAGGGGTGAAGGGTTCAGGTTTTTCCTTTAATCTGTCACCTTTCTGAATGCACCTTTTCCTGCTTTTGACTTTTGTGTTGACAAATTTGACCACATTTCTAAGCACACAATGATTTCTTTTTCTAAATTCTAGTTTATATTTTTTTATTTCAGTTAAGTAAAATGTGTTCACACCCAGCTTTAGTTAGACATTTTAAACTACATTGCGTTAGGCCACTGTTCACTTACTGTTTTGTCTGTTGCACTGCTTGCTGTCTGCTGTGGAGGAGCCATGTGAGGGCTGCCGATAGTTGTACCTGCTGTTGGCTGACTTGGTGCTGCAGTTAAAGGAGGAGTCTGAAAGGGAGTAAAGAGGCAGTCAATGGACAGTGTTACATTAGCTCATACAATGAACATACTGAAGACTGTTGCTTTTACACAGAAGATGAAAGGTTATCTAAAAGACAGCTCACATGTTTATAACATATCTATGTGGACTATATCTCCATATTGTGGCTTGTTTCCATCATGTAGGAACCAATGATGATCTCCATCTGTGTACCTCTGTATTTCTCCTCTATACCATCCCATTAAAACACAATTTGCACTATGCTTCATTTCCGTGTATCCTCATTTATTATGGGCTGGAACTAAGTCCTGCACAGAACATTGACAATTAATGGATGGGCTGAAGTGGCTGTTTTGGCTGAAGTTGTAGCCCAATGAGACAGTTCAGACATGTGGAGGGGGTCAGTCTGACAGTACTTTGGCTTCCACTGCCAGGTAACATCAGAGCCTTGGAAAATGTAGCCTGGATTGTACCGTGGGAACAGCAAAATGTCATTTCATTGTTATGGTTTCCTGCATTTAATCTGACTGGTAGCAGAGAGCAGTCAGCTGGATATGGGAGTTTCACGGAGCCCTGGGAGACAGAGGGAGGCGTGTTTGTGTACCTGAGACTGTGGAGAAGGAGGCCTCCAGCTGACTCTGTCTCCTCAGCAGCACCTCCTCTCTCTTCAGACCTGCCATGTACTTGGAGTACGACCACGACAGCTGAAGGAAAATGTCCAGAAATCAAGTCGAATCAAATGTGATTAGAAAAATGGTTCAATTAGACGATCGGGTTTCTTCCTTTACAGTTAGTGGTCGGCGCTGATGAGGCCTTGTGTGGACTTGTTATTGTAATTGAGTTTATCTTCCATGCAGTTTTTATTTCAGTATGTTGTGCTTTCAGATAGTTATCAATGGAAATCCTTTAATCTGGTTTGGCTTCCTTCACATGCTACATTTTACACAAACACAGCTCTACATTTACAGTGAATGTTTCCCCATTAGGAACAAATGACAGCTCTTTACCGGCTGTGTGGGAGTCAACAGCACTCTGCTTTGTGTCCTCGACTCCTTTAGTTCACTTCTTTCCTCTTGTTGTTCTTCTTCTGTTTCATCTTCATCTGACCTATCCTCTTCTGTAAAACTGGACTCTTGTATGTCAAGCTCTTCCTGTAGAGAAAAGATTAGATGCGATTGAAACCATTCTTGCTGCAGACGTTAGTGTTGCAGAAGTATTTACCAGCTGCATAACCACATTCTTGTAGCTCTACTTTTCTTTGTTTCTTCACCTGCGTTCTCCTTCTCTCTTCTTCCTCCTCCTCTTCCTCCTCCTTCCTCCTCTGTCTCCGTACTCTGGCTCTGTATTTAACTCGCTTCTCCTGCAGCAGAGGAAGGAGCTGCTCCTCTTGGACGCTGCTGCTAAGCTCTTGAAACTCGGGCCAGCATTTAAGTAATTCGCTGAATACTGACATCTACATGAAAAGAAAACAGCCTGAAGCATAAGGAGAAAAAACAAACACCCACCATACTTTAGACACACGCAGACGAACACAACACCTGCGCCTCTCTGAAGATGTAAGGGCCTAGCTCACAGCGTTTCTCCAGGATGTGCTGAGCCTGTTCAGGAGGGATGTCTATCTGCAGGGCGGGGGGCATGGAGGAGTTGATGAAGCAGCTAATGATGGTGGAGATCTTTCGCTGGATGGTGGCCTCATCGCTGTGAGAATGACAAAGGTCCTGCATTCACGGAGAGAGAAAGAGGAAAATAAGAGCCATTCTATGTTCCCTCTGCCCCTGTAATGTTTGGAACTGATATAACAAAACCAGGGTTCAAGTAAACTTAAAGATACCATCAATGAGTAGCTTATTGTAATATCTTCATTCTGTTTTAAGTATTTCTTGCATTATAGTTGATTTCCTTTTATAAACTACTCTGACAAATTGCTAATTTAGCTTAGAACTAAATAATGGATCTGTGCAGTACAGTGGCTGAAAAAGAAATGACATTACAGAAATAAATATGATGTATGAGGTCGTTTAGGAACAGTGTCATCATTTCATTGTTTTTCCATCCACCTCATTTTTACACTATAAATTGTGAGACTCACTACATACAGTATACAACAGAAGTGAGAACACCCCTGTGCAAATGGTGAAATTATATCCCCTCTCAATAACAGTATTATTTCTAAGTTGACAAATGTTTCCCCAAACAGAGAGACTGTTAAAAATGCAGGATCCAAAGTAGAAATCCAAGGCAACAAAAGTGAATAAACCTGTTCTTTCCAATTAGTTTAAGTAAGAGCTTAGACAGTGTGAAGGATATTACATAATGTGATCCTCTTTAGATGGCATCCAAGAATAAATAAAACGCTACTTGTTGTTTCACTAGTCTCACATACCTTTGCGTAGCACAACAGGTCTGGCTTCACCTCATTAGTATTCTACTATTGGGGGGAAATGTTCTGGTTTGTTTATATTTCTTTAAAGTATGAGTGTCCAGATCCCAGTCTAAGATCAGGATAGCCAGACTCTGAGCTGAGAATCTGGCCGATCAAGGCGTTTCTTAACTGACTGGTATCGGCACAAACCTGAGCTTGATCCTTTGTTTACATCTGCTGTCACACAACAGTGTAAATTTAAATAATGTTGTTAATAAATGCTGGTTTATCAGTCAATATTTGATTCATATGTAGTAGAAATTGAGAACACTGAACATCTGTCCTGTGCTGATATTGCCAGTTTAAGCTCAAGACACAAGATGTGAGCTGCAAAGGAAGCTCTCACATAGGATCGTTGTTCTAATTGAGTCTGGCTTGATTTTAAACATCTGCGCTGGCTGCAGTTCATTAAGTGTCACAGGAGACTTTGTCATGTTGCCTGTTAAATTGCTAAACCCCCACACTGAAGGTTGTTGTTGTTTCCTGTATCAAGAGGAACTTTTAAAATGATACCACACGCATGTAGTGTAGGGGGTTAAGAAAGCCTCATGAAATGCACAGACCGAAGTAAACTTGTGTGGGTCAGATTGGGTCCAGAATGTTTAAAATGAAACTGGACAGAAAGACCCCAATACATGCATAGTGCTGACAGTGGCGTGCGATGACACATCATGAGTGCAAAAGGTGTCAGAGAGGTGACATTTAAGGAGTGCACCATGAATGCCTGTGGATAAACCAAACACTGGCTGACAAGACAAGTCCCAGTATGTGACGTTTGGAAAAAGAGGAATGCTCCAGCATAATAACGATCCAAAACACACTGCCGAACTCACATTGGAGTTCTAAAGAAGAAATAAGTGAAAACTGCGAGACGGTCAAGTGTCGCCTAATTTGAATCCAATAGAACAAATTTGGTTTGTATTGTGCAGAGAGAAGTCGAGCAGCACAACTCCTCCACAACCTGATAAATCCAGTACTGACTGGTTCTAGTTTACAATGGGCAGGTGAAAGATGCAGGTACTGGTCATCAACCCTCAGGTATCTTTTACCTTGTATCGCTGCACCTCCAACCAAAAGAGCACATCATTCTCCAGGAAGTCGCCCTTCAGGGAGACAAAGAGTTGAAACTGCTGGCAGGTGACGGGGTTAAGAAGGATTCGTCGAAACAGCAGGATCTCTTTGAAGGAAGTCATCCACAAGCCCTCAGCCTGCAGGGAGACGTGACGGAGAATACTCATGACACTTTGTTGGCTGAACTTCTTCAGGACAAAAAAAAATGTGCCTGAGGACAAACTGAGTCCACTACTTGTAAATATTACAGCAAAACGCAATCATTTGCAGTGCAGTAAAAGATAGTGTTCAGTGAACAACAGGAGTAAGGATCATCTGTGACCTATGAGCTGCAGCTTTGGCTCACATAATGATACAATAGAGATAATGATACTCCTTTATCGAGGAAAACTCATATGCCAAAGATGACATAATGACTGTAAAAATGATAGTCACAATCATGTATGCAAAATCCTTCCTGTAATCATCTTGTTTCTAATGCGTACTGTTCATGTTTTATATCTGTTCTGCTGTGGAGCTGAGATGAGAGGACGGGAACAGAGCTGCATGGAAAACACTCCAAAGACTATTAAAGGGAAGGTTAGTAATGCTGATGCTTTAATCTTATTTATCCTGGATCCAATTTGGGAAAACTAACCTCAAGGCCAAAATGGTGTTTGACAAAGCCAGTGCTTGAAGCCAAGTCATGAACTAAATCACACATGCTTTCAGGCCAGGAAATGCCTTATTTCTCGCCATTCAAAATATCCCCAGAGGACTTCTCCTTACCTTCCAGGCTTCTCTCCTCGTTCTGCGCCGACGGTAGACGTGCTCCGAGAGCCTGCCTGCTGCTTGCAGCTACCACACACAGGAGCGCACACATAGAAAGGTCAAAAGTGAGAAACCGTAGGTAGGACTTACAGACACCCAACCTCTCTCAAAGCTCTTTCTGCTGCTCTTTGCCACTGGCGGTAACTAAAGCTCCCTCTCATTTTTTACCTTTAACCTTCCCTCTGTCTTCATTTTCTCCAATCTTCTCTTAGAGAGCTCTTCTCCTCTCTGATGTCAACGGTCTCCCACCCGCCTCCTTCTCATCACCTCTTGACCATCTTTTCCACCCTCCTGCTCACCTCATCCTCCAGAGTGTAACGCTAAACTGCGTCTACCTCTCATTACTTAATGAGAGGATCCGTGTGACCAAACATAGTAAACTTGATAACATAATGAGGCAGAGCGCCAGAATCTACAGTTTGTATGTTTCCACCTGATGAGGCAACCTGAGAGAGCGACTGGACAGTGACAGCGTTTAGTGGTTGCTCACGTAACACTAATGTGCATCTGGCGTTTCATCTCTGTTCACTCTTGAGGCTTAAATGCAAACTTAGTACAGATTATAATTACAGCTGAAACAAGTCAGGTACTCTTCATTTAATGTGGACCTAAATCTCTTTCCTCTTTTTGTACATCTTTCAGTATATCTTGTATTAAAAGGTGAAAGATAGCAGTAAAGCGGCAAAAGCTATTGTCTTAAATGTTGGCTACCGTCACAGAGGCTTCATTGCAGCATCACTAATGTCAGTATTCACCTCCACAACTATCACAACTCTATCTGGTAATTACATGTGCATAAATAATGAAAAACCAGAAATAACTGGAAGAGAAATGTTGATATTAAAATACATTCAATAAAGTAGAAGCAGATATTTTTTCCAAATGTAGGATACAGGTAAGTATTTTGATATCACCCAATGTAAACACTAATCCCAGTCATTCAAAGTGCTGCAGTAAACCTTCTACATGTGTATACTACTAACTGACAGTGAACTCCAACAAAGTTATTACAATTTCTCCTCAGGGTCACATGACTGTCTGTATCTAAATACCATAAGTGTAAACCTGCTGGTGGTCTTAAAGGAAAGGTTAGGAGATCACAAAGGTCAACAGGCTACTTCACCAGGGGACCATGAATGTCTGAATGTCAAATCATCTCATAGGTGTTTGATGCATTTCTTAGATAAAAATTTGTCCTATTGGTCAGGGGATCACCAGAGTCACTGCGCTTTATCCTCTGGGGACCATGAAAGTTTGGGTTAAAGTAAGCCATCCAGTCGCTGAGGAAAACTATCAGTCAGGACAAAAGGGATGTACTGACCAACAGATACTGCTAGCATCAGTAGTAAGACAAAAGGTAGCCCACATATTTCTGTTCTGGCACTAACACTTTGCAAATAATGCCACTGTTACCTCCATTGTAAAAATAGCTGCATTTATCTGAAAGCCCATGAATAAAGTGTGAGGAATCAGTATTGCCACCTTTGGTTTGTGTCTCTGTCGCTCGGTGAACTCTGCCGTGGACAGAAACAAAGGCAGCCATGTTTTCTCAATGTGATTCCTGACAATGTCCTGGACCTCCACGACGACTGGGTTTGAGAGACAATCCAACTTCAGACGCTCCAGTCCACCTGCCAAACGCAGTATCTACACACAGAAAAGAGCATAAGACACAGTGGAGGCATGTGTTTAATATGAAGGCTTAAGATGTGTACATGTCTCTAGATTTCTGTAAAACCACATGAAGAACATATGACGGGGTGGACAAGAGACTCAGGAAAAAAAAAGTGCCCACAGTGGGAAATCCAACTGGAAACTCCTCTCCTTCCTGACTCCTGCTGTGCTCTTCATCATTCCCACAAAAACTCTGCTCTCTTCATCTCCCCTCTCTGCTTTCTGTCTTCATACATCGATCTGGCCATGTCTCCCTTTTTATATCTCCCTTATATTTTCTCTCATCTTATTTTGCACGCACATAGGCCCGCGCATGCACACATACACTCACACGAGCTTCAGAAATGAGAACCAGTCGTGGCACTGGTGTGGGAGTCAGGAGATGAAAGGAGGCCAATCTGTGACTGGATGACTGAGTGACTGAAACAGTGAAGGGCCAAAGCAGTAAAGCTGTCAGTCTCTCTACATCGCTCACGCAGACAAGAACCAACGCTGAGATGCAACAACGGCAGCCAGGCTCGGTCCTTACAGAGTTAGAAAGCACTAGAATTGGCATCCCAATTCAAATGCACAGTTAGAATAATTATTTGGATGGTATTTATGAGATGAGGATGACAAATGACAAAGATCATGCACCAGATTTGAATTTACATCAATAAGTGCGCTCTGTTTGTCTCAACTGAGTGAACTACAAGAACAACTTCAAATCTGTATTTGGCGTAGCTCCACAAGGTATACATCTAAGTTGTCAGGTAATAAATATATTATTTTTTATCTCTTTTAGTAAGACAACCTTTACTGTTTAAATGGAAGGAGTTCCCTCCAAGCTTTAAACTATGGATTAAAGACTTCTTGTATCAAAGGAGAAAATATGTTTTTCTACAAGAGGCTGTGCTCAGAAACGTTTATAGCACTGTCTTAAACTATAAAGAAAACACAGATGCCACTGTTGCTTAGCATTGAAATTTTTAACTACTGACCCCGTGTTATACATAGTTTATTTATTTATTTGTAACTTTTGTGGTTTTTTTGGGTTTCTTCAATCTTTGTATTTTTCATTTTAATTGATTTTTCAGTCTCACCTACATTAATGTACAATGTTCTTATACATATTTTATATCATCATTTCTGAAATATTAGGACAATTATACTATAATAGGGCTGGGGCTCTGGTGGAGTAGAAACAGCAATTAAATAAGCATAAGTTAAAAAAAAAACAAAACGGAAATTTCCTTATTCAAAAATCACATCATGGTTTCAAAGCAAGTCAAGAAAAAAAACTGTAAAGTAGTTTAGCTAATTTGAACAAACATCGATAAACACAGGAACATTACTTACTATGATTGAAAGTAAGCAAAAGCTAGTTAGCAAGCAAGCAGTAAAAATAGTAAAAATAGTAAAAAGTATTGAATAAATGGCTGAAAAAAGTTAATAAAACACTCAGTAAACAGATGAGATAGTAATAACAGTTATGCATAAAGTCTTAAGAACTGCAAGCTAAAAAATAATAGCTAAATGGTTAAATTAGTTAAACAAAAGTAAGATGAATGGCAGGAACAGGTGGCTAAACAAAATGGTAACTCAGTGGTTAAAATAACCAGCCATGTGAATGAAGGGATACAGTGGAAATTGTTACATTAGCCATGAATAAATTACTTAAAATTGCTAATGTTAGATAGGTCAGCTGATAGTTTAAAGGTCACATATGGTGAAAATACATTTTTATTGTGTTTTGTGATTGTTATAAGCTTGGAAGTGTAAAATACTAGCTGTTAAGATATGAAGATGTTTACGTCTGTCTTCCTCAAGTCCCACACAGCTAGTCATCCTCCCAGCTTTAAAGGCAGCAAGAACTCAACCCAGGTGCTACGTAACTAACCAAGAGTCATCCAGCTCAGCATTATCTTCCTGAATGGGGTGAGAACAGAAGATTGATGGTTTTCAGAGCAAAACAGCCCATTAGGAACAGTCCTGAAACCAGGGGCTATGCAGCCATGGTGAATATAAATAAGCATTTTTTGGAGTATTTGGAGCAGAAAGATGCCCTGTGACTACATGTGCCATGTTGATTTATTTGCTAAAAAGGGACACAATAGCAATATATATATATATATTCAAATACTTATTTTCAGTAGTACCATGCAAGTTAATGATTAAAAAATCATACATTGTGATTTCTGGATTTTTTTTTTTTTAGATTATGTGTCTCACAGTGGACATGCACCTAGATGAAAGTTTCAGACCCTTCCATGATTTCTAAGTGGGAGAACTTGCAGAATCGCAGGGGGTTCAAATACTTCTTTTCCCCACTTTACACACACACACACACACACACACATTCACTCAATGGTATATTTTTGTCATCTTGTGTACATACTTATTTTATTACTTGTTAGTGCCTTGCACTTTCTTTTCTATATTTTGGATGCTGCTGTGGCATGTAAAGTTCCCCCAATGGGCGATCAATAAAAATAATTCTATTCTACTCTAACATGTGCAGCAGTTCAACAGATGCAGGCAGTGTGCTCTTCCTGAAGGGGGCAGCAACAGCAGCAATTGTTTTTCAGAGCAAAAACAGCCCATTTAGGACAGCTCTAAAACCAGGGGTTATACAGACGTGGTGAAATCAACTGTCTTTACGGTATTTAGAGCTTAACAGTTGAAAGACACACTGTGGGGATAAAACTGATTAATTTGCTAAAAGGGTCAGAATATGGGACCTTTAAATTTGGAGACAGCCTGTCAGTTTCATAAATCTTTAAAAAAAAAAAAAATCTAAATAAATTAAATAGCATCTAGTTAACATCTGTCCGTATGAACATGTTTGAACAGTTATGTTGATGTTGACAGGGCTTTCAGGGTTCATCAAACCAAAAATACCTCAGAACCACAGTCCAATAAAACACTGTTTTCTGCGACAGTATCATAAATACTACAGAGCGACCATTCCTAACTCAACACACCATGCCCTCCTGCAGTAATCCTAGAATCCAGAAACCCAATCTTCCGCTATTAACATCAGGACAGTTTTCATCCTACTGTCATTGTTACTTGAGCTGATTTTCTTTGTCTTTCTGGATCCAAACAATACTCTTCTCCGTCTTCTTGTTTTAATTCTAACCATGTTCTCTCGTCCCCCATTCCCCACCAACACCCTGCTGTCAGAGCTGTCAGTATGAAGTCTGCAGGATGCCAAAGGAGGGAGGTGGGGAATTGTGTGAGAGCCACAGCAGCCTCTGTTTATCAAATCTGGATGCTGAGCCTCAGCTGGAGCTCAGATCCCATCTTGGAATTGTCATGTCATGAGCAGCCTGTTTCTACCCCCTGTCTCTGTAATACGTTTCCAGGAACTTTAGCAGTAGTTCATATTCAGTGGAACTGGGATTGTACCAACACGGGTACATTTGCAAATAATATTGAACATGTTATTCTTTTACATTATTTGATGATGACTATATAATGATGATGATTGACATACATCATTCTGTTGCTCTGTTGTGGCAGGACTGTCAGAGCCAAAGAAGTACTCCCTGTTGAGGTATTTCTTGGCAATAAGAGACGACCTCTTCTGTCTGATAGCCTTGTCCTTTTGAGGGGTCCTCCTGTACTGCTCCAGATCCAGCCAACACGTCAGATGGATACTAAACATAAGTACACATGTTCAGAACAGATGTTTTCACATTTACTTAGTAGACCTTGTATACATCCTGAAAAACCTTTAGTTTAAGGCAAAAATGATGCATATTTGCAAGTGATGCACAGTGTGATGCTGTAAATATGTTGTATTCATGTATGTAGCTTAAGTGTCATACATCTAAAGAAAGGATAAGAGAGTGATATACAAATTGTATGGTTGCTCAGCTCACCTGGCATCCTGATTCTGTAAGAAAGACATAAAGTGCCCAATCTCATGACGGTGACGAAGTAAGGACCCTAAACGGTAACCCTGGTAATTTGGAGACACACTGGACCAAGAGTCAGATGCATGAGGGTCCTTTGAGAAGGGACTACAAGGTGTAATAGAAGAGGAAAATGGCATGGACACACATTGCTTCTCCTGTAGAACAGATACAGCGGGAGGACGGAGAAAGTAAGGGACACATGGGGAGAAAAAAACAGCAAAATAGTGTTAAAAAAAAAGACAAAAATAAGGTGCACTATAAAAAGCAATGATTTTCCACATCACATCATGCCTAATACTGCCTGTAAGGCATTCTCAAGTCACACTAAAGCACAGAGCCACATGGATCATTTCTTCTATATGACAGCAGTATGAGTAGTGCCAAAAAAAACAGCCCTGGAACAGCAGATAATCAACATTGTTACTAAGCAATACATAAATACTGGTAAGAGGTCATTTTCACATTAATATTTACATAGCTGTTTCATGCTCGCAGGTGTGTTTACTGGCTATTAACTAAGCACCAGCATTTTACAAATCTTGGAACTGATGGATGCTGGCTGACTGACCCATTTCAGTTGCCGCTCTGATTCCTCACACAGACTCAGAAGTTCCCTGTACTCCTGGCTCTCGATGCAGCGAACCTCCTCCTGCACACACACCTGGACACACACACACAAAACTTATCGATACCCATTTTGATATTTGGTTTATCATTTAGTTCATTTTTCAGTCAGAAATACCAGACGACTTACGGCACCAGGTATTCACTGTGAGAATTAGCTGACGTTACATAAAAATCAATACTTAACAGGACATTGTTGTGGGTGTTTTATTCTTTTTTTCTGATGTTTTGTAGACCAATAGGTCAATTTAAAAAATAATCTTAAAAATAATTAGAACCTGCAGCCTTGAAGCCATTTCACAACCACAGTTAGGAAGCCATAGACTCAAACTAATAACTCTAATCAAATATTCACAAACGCAGCAACATAAACATTAGTGGATATTACTTGATGCTTTGCGGGATTTCTACTTTCCACATCCACACACAGATTGAAAGACGATCTGTCTAACCATGAACTGGCCTTAATAAGGCTTCTATGTTATTGAACTGTCAAATTTACTAAAGGAAGCCCATGTCCTCCAAATAAAAGGGAAGTGAATTAACCAGTGGTTGAAGTGTGGTTACCTGCTGGAAGGACTCTTTGTCCCGGTTAACCAGAAGTGTCCACGGCTCCAGCAGAATGTTCAGTGTGTATTCTTCAACCCCATCAAACAGCTCCTCAAAGGCAGGCATCAGTCTGTCATACACCTTCCTTCTGATCTCCTCCTCAACACCAAAGCTCCTCCTGGCAGAACTGAAAAGATATGTGGAGTAAAGGAGCTGGAGAGGAGAGGAGAGGAGAGGAGAGGAGAGGAGAGGAGTCATAAAAATGTCTTCACTTCAGAAACATTTCTCCTCACAACCACCATCACTTTCATCATCACCATTGCTTAATGCTCTCATACACAACATTCAGTATCTCTCATCACTGCTGCCATCACACCACATAAATGTCACTCATTCAACCGTCTTGGCCAAAACACAATGGAAAGATCATCTAATCGTCAATCCTCTGGTGAACTAAAGGTTAACTGAAGGAAAATAGGTTTCACTGAGAGGTATTCTGGACCAAACCGCTCTGCTTTCCTCCCTGGTCCAGCTGTAGTCAGGCAGGGTGGTTCTGGGTGACTGAACTGGCGCAAAGCTGGGGGGGTCTGACTCACTTGTTTTTATGGGAGTTTAAATCTCTCCACTTAGTGTGAAGGGGTGAAGAGGGTAGAGAGAAGCAGGGGGAGAAGGGAGTGGCAGGCCAACAGAGCAGGCAAACAAGGGCAGGTGTGTGTATGTACAAAAGGGAGGACGCCGCAAATGTTAAACTCGATCACTCTTTCATTACCTTTTTATAACCTTTATTTATACGTAATTACTTCTTGTTTGTACTTGTACATTTTAGGACATTTGCTCTCTACAACTTTAACTGATTATGATTGGCGATTTTACCTGGCATCCACTCTAGAAAAAGGCCTCTTTATATCACTGGATATTTTATTCCTCTGCATGAAACATCTTAACTTAAGTTTTAGATTGGCTATAACTCACAGAAAGCATGAGTCAAACAAATAGATCTATTTTTTATCACATGAAACTAGTTTGATGTTGCACAATTGGCCATGGCAGCATAGCCTTTGGAGAACCCCAAGAAAAAAACATGATCTTCTAAACAACTTATTGTTTGGAATATTGTGTAGCTATTTTCTGACAAAAGGAAAACAAAGTTTTCTTAAGAAGAGTGTTTTGCTACAGGAAAACAGAACAGAATCAACAACATGCTAGAAACTGATCTGTTGAACTAGTCTGAACTCAGATTTAAATATACAGACATCTCAGCAAATGCACTCAGTCTCAGTTTAAAACATTGAAAACATAGAAGTTGACATAGTACATGTAATCACCATCATGATATCAGATTTTCACCACATGATTATCATGGCCAAAAGAATTTATGATAACAATATTACTGTAATAGCTGTAGAAATTTTGAAAAAAAAAATGTGATCAGTCAAATTCATCTTTGATTTTGTTTATTGTAAGTTTTGCCTTGTTTTTGACAATACACTTACACTCAAAATACAAGTGTGGGGAGGTGGAGAGAAAGTCTGCATCTATAACTGTACTGTATGTTACTCCTATGTTGGATTGTCATCCACATACTTTAGTTACTATACAGTCATAGCAGCTTGCTACTTTCCTCAACTTTGAAGTCAGTGTGATCCTGAGCACAGGGACTGCAGCAGTATGTGGGTGCTCACCTGTGCCTCTCTCTGCACTCTGTAGGGATCCAGTCCATCCTGGTAAAACAGCTCATGGTAGTGCTGCAGGTCAGTCCAGAAGTAAATTGCATTCACCCACAACTGAGACAGAAAAAAAACACATCACGATTAGATTGTCTGTTTTACCGCTCCATGTTGCAGTACCAATAATATTTAAAGTACTGTAATCTACTATTTTGGATGTGTGTCAACCATAAGATAATGTAATGGACTATAAAGAATAAATGTGCAGTTTTAAGTACAACTCATAGATGTTTGTACCTGATTTCCAGATTGTTCACAGAAGTGTGTGAAGTATAGTCCAGCACGGGATTCAACATAGAGAGCCTGTAACATCTTCTGCATTCTTCTGCTGCACAGCAGACTTCTGTGAAAAGACTGATGAAACATATACACAGATAAGAACCCTTTCAGTACAACAAGTTTAGAAAAATAAAAATTCATTTTAAAAATCTAATGATTATTTTCATTATTGCATAATCGTAAAATACTACTTTTTCACAGTGCATTGTTTAGTCACTGCAAGTGCAAAAATAATGGAAAATTTCAAGCAAAAATTAACAATTAAACAAATGTTTGTCATTTGGTTTGATTAATGACCATTCCAGTTTTTCCAGTATTATTTCACTTATCATTTCATCTCTACTACCCCCGTAATCCCACCCATGTAATTCAACCTGCAGCCACTGAAAGCTGGCGGAAGAGAAAACTTTATATGTAACTTATATGTACCCAACAGTGTCAAGTCCGAATGCTCCTACCTCTGTATGTACAGTCTGGGAGGATCGCGGCAAGTAGGTGTCAGGGTGTTGGAGAGGCAGAGTCGTAGAGCCATGGCAGGACTGTATGCTTGATACTGGGTTAGAACTCCTCTCTGTCCATAACCCAGTATGAGAGGAGCAATTATTATCTTTCTGAACAAACTGGGAAGTCCAGAACCGGGGAGCCCTGTGGGGAAAAAGTGAGGACATTGTAAGCAATTTCCCCTCTGAGATCAATAAAGTATTTCTAATTCTGATGCCCAGAGTAAATATGGTTAGTAAAATGTATGGATGCACAGAGATACTGTGTGTAGGTATGCACTGTACACACTCACACAGTGTCTGTCACTAACATTAGGAACATGAATACTGTGAGTTGTGAATCTCACCAGTAGTGGAGCAGAGACTCAGTGAGGCAGGGCTGCACTGAGCACAGTTTCTCCTCTGTCCAGCAGGGGGAGGTAGTCAGCCCCAGTCTGGAGAGCAACCCAACATTTAGACAGCTCTGACTGCTGCTCAGCAGGTACCAGCTCCTCATCAGGATCAAATACCTGCAACAAATACCCCATTACATCTGATGAATCTGATTATTATTTTTTCATTTTTATTTTTTTTTAATAACAGGACAGAACAGTGTGTTGTCATGTTGCAGTGTTTACCTGTTCCTTCTCTCTCTGTGCTGTGTAGCTTTCAGTCTCTCTATATCCATCCAGAGATTAAGTATCTTCTGTCCTGGTGTTCCTCGCAAAAACTCTTTGAACTCATCCAAGCCTGGCCTATTGCCATGGCAACAGGTACCATGACAACAAATATCAAGGACATTTTGTTGGTTTGCACGTCTACTCTCCACCTCCCTATTCTTCTTATGCCAATCGGTCTTTTCTTCCCATTCACTCCCCCCAATACCATGTTGAACTTTATCCACCTTCCCTTTCAGTCTTTCTCTGTCCTCATCTGCTGAATGCTGGCAAACTTTACATTCACAGGGTTTGTCTGTGCTCGTACAATTTGTCTGGTCTTCTGACTCTCTGAGACACTCAGAGGTGTTTGCCTGGCTCTGAGGATTCATCACATATATTGCATTTTTTAGTACCAGTTTAACCACTTTGGCAGCCAAGTACTCTAGCTGTTGTTCAGGAGAATTAAATATCTGGCTACTGGATTCTTTGAGATGAATCTCTTCTCTGACACCAGCTGACAGCCCTGTGAAGCAGAGGCTCAACTCTGCTTGTAAGCTTTGGAGTTCTTGCGTTTCCTCACATTTAGGGTGAGAGGAAAAGGAACCTGATGAGGAGAAAGAGGAAATGGTACATGGGTTTTCTGGCTGAGAACAACTGGAGTAGCAACTGGATGATTTGCTGCTTCTTGTGTTGATATTCTCCTTCTGGCCAGAGGACTGACATGTAACATTAGTCATGCTCACAGAACCTGTGCAGTAAGGGGAAAAAGGGAAGGGTCAAGCCTAAAGTTTATAACACACATAGATTTGCAAGTTGAAAAGTGACACACACCTTGTTTTCCTGAAATGTTCTCTTCACTATGTGACCACCTCAGGACTTTCAGCACATCATTATTTATCTTGTTAAATTGGGGGGAACAATGCAGTTGTGGGGCTGAAAGAATGGTTCGACTTGAACTGTTTCTCCTTCTGTGGATACAGAAGTTTGGGTCCCACTGAAGTAAGAGCTTGGCTAGTCTGGGAAATACCAGAGAGAACGGATGCACCATTAGTCACAGAATAAACAGGCACATGTTTTTTTCGACAAACTTCAGTTTTTACAAATGGAACTAACAAACTTGGTAGCTGCTATATCTGTATCACTGCTGCAAGGAGCAGGTTGCAAGTTGATGTGGTTTAGTAATCTGATCCGTACAGGATGTGGCCTTCAGGGTTCTTACAAGATGCATAAAGAATTAGAGTAAACAGTCGAGAAAGTAGGGCAGCAGTCTTGAACACAAACACAATTGTTAGAACGTTACAGTATACAGAGTACACTGCACTGAAGACCACTCCATAATTACCAAACCTGTTCTTGAAAATGCTTGACACTATATACTAAATGGTAGAGTTTGAGGGGGTCGGTTAATGTTTAAAATAAGATCATTAGGCCGACAGGTTGCAGGAGAGTGGAAACAATGACAGTAAAGTCAGAATGGAGAGGTCGGTTTTATCAGAGCCAATGTGAGTCTGAACCTGAATAGAATTTGACAAGTAAAGAGCAAATTCAAGTCTGATTACAGTTATACACAGTGGTAATAAGAACACAATAAAACATAGAAATCATTTAAAACTATAGCTGTTAAAACACATTTGTTTTTGTAGTAGCAATAGGTTTTTTTTTTTTTTAAATCAAAACTCAATACACCTGTGTACCTGTATTCATAGTAGCAATCACTTTGAAGGAAATAAGGCAGTCTTTCTCTTTTGATCCACTGAATTCCTTGCTCTCTGTTCAGGCACTGCAAAGGTCAAGAAAACATTCCTCAAATCAATTGTCTGAAGCTACATGACAGATTTCTGCTCATCTCCAGGAGCAAATAAGTTCAACTACTGTTTTCCAAACAGATCACTTAGTGCTTACACAGACAGTGTAATGGTTGTCCACTGGAGGGGTTCTGGATGGCGCTGTGGGGTTACTAGAAAGACGTGATTTGCAGTAGTGTAGGACTGATCTGATTCTACTGGAGACAAATTCAGCTGCTCCACTCACCACCTCAAACAGTCCAGTCTCCGGGTTGTACAGTAAAGTGTCTGGGAAAGACTGGAAAAAACATTTAAGGCTATAAGAAAGGTATGAGTTTTGTCAATATGCTGAATCTATACATCATGTCTACATTACCGGCAAACTTAAGAAATCATTGAAGAAGTGAGTCAGTACATCATCTGAGGCCAGAAAGCTTTCCTGTTCAGAGGGGACCAAGAAAACAGCAAAACACTGAAATAATATGGAAATTCTTCTGAACCTAAACTGCAGTCAAAGATTGAAAATGTAGCTTCCAAAAATCTAAACTTGTACTTACAAAATTGCAAGCAGTAAGATGGGGAAAGTCTTAGCATAGAGAAAAACTCAAGTTAGCAAACGAACATCATTTTCAGAATGTCAGAAAAGTGAATTAAAAATGTTTTGAAAGTACCTCTTACCTGTTGAAATTACTCCACACATTGTTCATCCCAAACCTACAGGTGCCTATACAGTATTCTCAAACCGGCTGCCCAGAAAGTCAAGCAAGGCAGTCTCTTTTGAATGCGTTCAGCCACCACAAACCTCTCAGTGAAATCAGACACAGTCCAGGTTGCTATGGAAGTGGACTCTTTTTTTCAAAACACAGGGGGCAGTAAAAGTTTAACTAGAGAGCACCAGAGAGAAACCAGGGCAAATTTGTAGTTCTACCTCAATACCCCCAACATTACATTATTGTAAATTAGTCAAATAATTTACAATAACGTTGGTATCCAAGATCACTTTACATGTAATAAAAGTTAAATGTGAGAGTGACACTGTTGCTACACATTTCATACCACTAGATGGTGCCGAAGACTAAAGAATTCATTTGTACTGTTTATGCGGTACTTCTTACAAAGATGACAAAAGACAAACATTTAAAAAAAAAAAAAACAATCCCAAATTTATTTTAAAGCTGATCTGGAAATACATTGGTAAAAGTTAAAAATTTCAGGAGTTCCAAAAAACATTCTGTACAGTCAGTGTATAGAAAAATACATCAACAGCAAAAAGAAACACTTGTATGTGCTGGTGAGACCTCCTCCACATGTATAATTAAAAACATAAAAGGAAAAACTGTTAAAAAAGGAGGAAAAAAGGTACATAGACAGGTATAAATACACATTAAAGAGTACAGACATGGCTCACACACCAGCCACTAATCAGTTTCCTTGGTGCTACACTTCATCTTCACCATTTCTAAGAAAAGAAATGCTCAAGCGACTTTGTCATTGCAAACAGAAACAAAAAACACTTTCTACTCATAGTCTTCTAACGTTTCGCTTGCTTTGAGCGCTTCCTGGAAGAAGTATGTCCTTCTTGCGCCGACCTGCAGACTGACTGCCACATTCTCTAGAGCTGTGAAAAGCGCACAAACATGAGGTGCAAAACTGAAAACCACAGTCAGCTCTGCTGCACACACCCTCTCGTTTCACTGAATGACACCTTGCAGGATTTTGACATCTGGGGCAAGGCTTAAGGCACTCATCGTTGAAGAGGGTTTTGGCAACCTGAAAAGTAGAAAAAAGTTATTTGAAATAACTTTCAGTATGCGTTTCGTGTGAATTGCCCTTCCTGCAATTAAGAACCTTACCTTTCACTACACAAAATGTATAGAACGTTTATATACGTTAACAAATATGTAGTCTTTTGGTTTTGTAACTCACTTCTAGAAATTTATCCCGTTTGCTGCTGCTGCCTGAATGTAAGGCAGTGTGCTGTACTGGGGTCAAAGCTCGACTTCCGAACTGCGGGGTGCAGTAGCTGGAGGTCCTAGACTGGGCCTGAACCGTCTTCAAGGCTGACCTCTGAAGTAGAGCGACTCGGGTCTCTGCATCAGAGACGTGGACAGCACCCCCATGCTATGAGACAACAGCAAAAAGTTCAGTGTCATATCGACTATTATTTACAATTAATTGATATTCACATTGACAAGCTGAACACAAATCAATCCCATGATACTTCACGCTGGTCCACATTACATAGAAAACTCATGTTTTTCTGCTCTATATGAGCACTGATGACCACATAGTAAATATGATAGCAAATGTTTTTCCTTTACCATAGGACATCAAGTATCTTCCAGAAGCACAAAAAAGCTGGAATATCAAAGAACTTCACACTGACATGAAACATATTCAACCATAGTGATAAACATGTAATATTTCATACCTCAAGAGCAGCCTCCACTTCACTCAGGTGGTTTCTCCTCCTTAAGCGAGCTCGTTTGTCCTGCTGGATAATTTGATTCCAGCTTTTGCACACCTGACCACACCTGTCAAAACAAACAGACGCATGCATTATACCAATATTTTCAGCCTTCTAAACTTTACAGACAAAACTTATTTGATTGAAAACTTAACTGTGCTACTTTTCAGTACTAAGAACTACATTGGCTATCACTCTTACACTGACTCTGCCACAGAGTACACATAATTTGGACAGTGTAATGTACATTGGTCAAAGCTAAGCATCAGTCATAAATTATACAGGAGACTGCTCTTTATGTCTGATTTTATTTATTTCCAAAATAAAAAGTGATTATTATTTCAATAAATGACAAAATGAGAATAAAGTGACTTAGCCTGTAGGTCAGGAAGGTGTGATAGTAAATATGGTAATTGCAACCAAAAAAAGTGAATAATATTTTACTGTAATGACAAAACGTTGTTGGAAACATAAATTCATCACCTGTAGACACTCTCAGAGTTCAGGTTGTCAAGTATGACAGCCAGGATGTGTCTAAGGTTCCTCTTCTTAAGCTCTGTGAGAATGTCCACCTTCCCCAGGCCCATCTTCCTGCCGATCAGCCCTGCCAGTGGCATAGTGGTCCTAAATGTCACAGGAGTCTCGACTAATGCTGCTGTGGACTTCAGCTGCTCCATCAGGCTTGGACTTTGGCCAGCAAACATTTGGGTTTTGTGCTGGCACATAGCATGAACCAGCTGCAAAGCTGGAGTCAGAGAGAGATCAACTGGGCTTGTCCTGTGTGGAGTGATATCTGAATTAGCAGGATCTGTACTATGAGGGGTCATGTTTTCTGCCATGGTCGTAGTAGCTCTAAGTGGGGTAGTATAGTCTTGTTTTGCTGCAGCCAAACCACCAGAATAAATGCTATTACCACATTTAACATTAAGGACACTGCAAGGGGTAGCATCATCAGCAAAAACCTCATCTTCTTTAGAATGGCTGGGACAAGGATGTTGATGCCTTGTGTCTGCTGGATCTTCCTCAGACTGAGAGCCACCTTCTTTAAGTGTAGAAAGCCTGTGCTGGCGCTGAAAACGGGAGCGTCGCTTTGCCTCCACTACATTTTGGGTTTCACAGTTTCCTCTGGAGCCAGAGAGAAGCAGTTCCTGGAAAGACCCATCGTGGTCCACTGATGAATCTTGGGATTTATCAAGGGTCAGGGAACTGAAACCACTGTCCTCATACACAGACCTGTTCCAGGAATAGAAGGGGATTAATGCAGACATGTTTTCTGAATCATTGTTTCTATAAAAAAAATTCAGATGAAAAATTTTACAGCAAAAATGTAAAAAGTTTAATGTCAAAAAGAAGCACATACCTGATGTATTTGGGTGTATGCATGGATGATGGTGTGCACAAGACACTTGAGCTTTCAAACAGGTCATTTGTCTCACTGCTGACTGGTGATTGAGAGTTTTCCTTAGATGAGACAGGCTGAAATTTGCTAACACTTGGAGTCTTTATATGAAGACGATCACAGGCAGAAATGCTCTGACTGAAATCTGTGTATGTGAGCGAAACTCCTCTCTCAAAACTCGAAAGGTGACCAGAGTTGGTTTTACCATCTTCCAAAGTGGAGGTTCTCACCTGCGTGAAGAATAGACGACGTTTCCTACCAGACAGTGCCAGATCCTGGTCTAGTTTTAAAGTGCTTAATGCTAAAGTTCCCGTCATCATGTCTAAAGAGTCGAATGATGCACTGAGCCAGTTCTCAGACCTGACACTAATAGAGGATTCAGCCCGTCTGGTGCAAGGTGATCTTGGGTTGTCATTTTTTACATCTGTGGTTGGCTGGTACATTACAAGTCTGTGTCGCAATGAGGAATCCCTCTTGTATACTTTTGGAGTTTCACACCAGCTAACTGCCGATGGTCGTGGTAACCCCCTGGAGTCTTTGCCCAAAAATCTGGCTGGTTGTCTTATCCTTTCCTCAGGCGTGACAGAAAGCCTTAGGTTCTCTTTAGGTGTTTCATTTAATTCTACTGGAGACAAGGATCTACAGGAGTCAACTCCAACGATGCTTCGAGGGCTCTGGAATAAACCTGAGTATCCACTGTCAGAGCAGTCATCATAACAGCGCTGGTCTTTGCAGCTCTCAAGGTAGATGTTTGACTCAGGAGTGCACTGCATTTTCCTTGTCCTGGGTCTTTGCCCCAAACACAGAATTCAGCAAGTAAGAAGGACGTCAAGTGACCTGCAGACAACAAAAATTAGTTTAAAAAAAAAAGTCTCCTTCAGGATAACAAACGAGACATTGAAGTACCACTGACAGCATTAGTTTGTCTGGCAGTTTGTGCTTTATCAGAGGTACATTATATAAGAGCTAAACGAGGCTAAACTAGCTTAAATGCTGTCTCTGTCTGGTTCAAGTCTTGTTTTTAGGGTGCAGCGCTGAACTCACTTTGTGATAAAAGATGAGTCAAGTAATAAATGTCGCAAAAGTCTTTCATCGTTTTCAGGGTTTGCGTCACAGAGAATCAGCTGCTTCATCCCCGTTGCTATGAGAGTGCGTGTTGTCGATTTAAGTCCCCAGTCGCGAGCTCTCGGTGATGCCGCTACAAAGAGACGTGCAGGCGCCAAAACCACCGAGCCCATCGGCTGTGTGGCTGACAATGTACCCTGGGGATTCGCAACACTCTCCAAAGCCATTTTACTCTAATTTACATTGATTTTAACGTTGATTAACAGTTAAAATAGCGAGGCCACGAGTGACACTCGTTAGCTAGCACAAACGAAGTGCAAATTTCGCCATAAATGGATGTAAATAAAATTGCGTCGGAGGCCAAGCTAAAAGTCTTCAATTTCCATAAAAGCCAAAAGCATTATACAACGCTTTCGGCTACCACAAACATTCTTGTTGGAACAGTTAGCCTCGCACTGTAAGTAGCGACTCAATTACCGAAAAAACGGAGGCCGTTCAGTGACTTAATTCTTTATCTTCAAATAACGCTGCGCCTAGTCATTTGTTGATTAAACATAATATCGAACACTGACGATATATCACCTAGCTAAGTTACGTTAGGCTCCTAAAACCACAACTACTGCTTTGTAATGTTTGTGGTTTGCCAGGCATATTGTTAGCAGCGTCGTAAATTGCATATGGATATAATGTTTAGCGTTAAACATAAAGTTATACACGAAACCCTTACTTTAGGATAAAACTAGTCAGCTGCAAAGACCGTAGAATCGTTCGGCGATGTTGTTTCCTCTGGCTGAGTTCCAGGCCACCGCTAATTCCTTGTGGTTGTTTCTGTTTGCTACATATTCACCTTTAAAGCACCAGCCTGCCACGTTTTTAAATTTGGAGCCTTGTGTTGACGGCGTCACGTGCTTCCGCTTAGCTCGGCCGGGCTTCCGTGTGTGGTTACCATAGCAACAGACCCCCAGTGCAGAGGAGCCAAACAACAGCAGGTCGAGTCATTTTCCTTCATGCTAACTTTTGTTGCCGTAGGTTAAGTTAACATTGCATTTGTTTACTCAGAGGGACAATTTTCCAAGTAAAAACTATGTCTTACCTGAACGTTAGCTCCTAAAAACGTTAACTTAATTCTTTATCAGTCTGTCCGACAGGCTAACTTTATTTAAAGTACCAGTTAGGTTTGGTTAGATAAGCTCAGCAATCTAGTAAAACGTGTCATTTGAAGCTACATTGGCTCCTATCTATACTGCAATTATTTTAACGTGATAACTGAGTAAACTGAAGTTCTTTCCAGGCATGAGTGCAGAGGCGATTTTCTCCAGTCAAAGCCAGCCCACCACCGTCGACTGCGGTGGGAAGGTCCCCGTGGAGCACCTGGACTATGATTACATTGAAAAATGCAAAGATGTTAAATATCTGGAGAAGATCTTGGGAGTGTTGAGGTACAAACCATATAGCATAGCTTGTTGTCTTATTGAAGAGGCAAAACAGGTTTTGTATGTTTAGTAAATATTCTTTTCTTTTTGTTGGTGGTGAGGTTTTCTCCATTAAGATAATTCACTAAGCCTCATTTGAAGTTTTTTTTACTGATTCACCACTGAGCTGGGAAAATGTGTAAGCAAGAAAAAAATATATATGTCAGCTATCACCATTTGCAAAAGGATGATATAGCACTTCATGACACAGTACAGTCTGATAAATGTTACTGTAAATGTTTCATTGAATTTGGACTTTCAGAAAACTTTTTTTTTTTTTTACTTTGTGTAAAGGTCTGGTGACATGGGCATTTATCCTCATCTGATAAGTTTCTGTGAGAGTCACTTGGAGAAACTGGACCCAAGGAGCAGAACTCTCAGGAAGGAAAGTCCTGTAGCCACAGCAGCCAGCCTCTCTAAAGAGGAGTGGAGCCAAATTGTTGATGAGTTGAAGGTACAAATTGGCATCTGTTTATTATAAATGTGACTCACTTCTTGACTGTTTATCTAAAGTCATACATTATTAACAGGAAGGACTTTGTTCTTTACAGACATGGCAAGAAGAAACCAAAAAGGCTGAGACTTCACTAAAAAAGCAGGCAATGTTTGATGCTCTGGTGAAAGAAAATATGGCGCCTGTAAGAGGTTCCAGTTGCTTTGTTCCACTTAGTCAGGTAAAAATAACCTTAAACCATGCACAGTTTATAACAGTATATGACAATATACATGTATGTATACTTGACAGATACTAAAATTAAGCCTTTTTGTACCACAGAATTCAGTTCCAAAAGGAAGAACGAAGCCCTCAAAAAGAGCCCTACCACGCAATTATCGGGAATGGGACAAGTGAGTCATTTTGTCTCCACATTTGTCTGTTATATTTAGAAGAAAGAACATGCTGTTACAGCAGCTGCAGGCATAGTAATAAAAGGTTTCCAAATGTTTCACTTTTTTAAGAAGGCCTGAGCTAAGCTTGTTTCATTACAATAATTCACAATAAAAAGAGTTGATTTTGGTCCAGAGTGTCATTATGCTCACTATCGTCCTTTACTTATAGATATTTCACTCTATTTCCAGGTTCGATGTGGAAAAACAATGTGAAAAAATAGATGAGAATGTGATTAGCACTGATCCACCAACCATTATAAACACAGGAAATCCCAAAATCAAGACTAAAGTGGATGTCTCAAGTAATGTATTATAAATAGCAACTCATACTTGTTTTGTGGTAATTGCAAAGCATAAAGTAGGCCTCAGTTGTGTGGCTATGTGTGTAACGTGGTTGGTCTCCTCTGCAATACATCCAGTGCTGCAACAACAAGAGAAGGTCCTACTGGCAAATCGTGAAAAGGACAAAGGCAATGAGGCTTTCAGAGCAAACGACTATGAGGAGGCGGTTGCATACTATTCCAGGTCAGGTCTTTAAAACAAGTCATTTATTATAGAAAGCACTTTACATCTCTTAAGGGGATCATTTTGTTTGCCATTAAAAGTAGACCATATCCTTAATTGTAGCTTGATTTCATTCCTGTTTACTGTGCTGTAAGTGTTTGTACATTAACCTCACTGTAAAGAAAGGTCTGTTTTATTTTTCATTCCATTACAGGAGCCTTTCCATTATACCAACTGTGGCTGCATACAACAACAGAGCCCAGGCACAGATCAATCTCAAGCACTGGCACAGTGCCATGACAGACTGCCAGAGAGTCCTCGAGCTAGAACCAGGAAATATGAAAGGTGCCCCATTTTTTCTCTACATTTTTAACATTGTTTGCAAAAAGAAGCATTACTTAAACCTTGTAAATTTTGGATGTGTTTGCATGTTATATTTGTAACTTCGAATACTTATCACTAATGTGTGTATATATAATGTATTATATTTGTCTAATCATCAGCTCTGTTACGTCGTGCTACTGTTTATAATCATATGGGCAACTTCCAAATGGCCACTGAAGACCTGAGGATGGTGCTGAGGGAAGAGCCACAGAACACTGCAGCCACAGTGGGTGACAGAAGCACATGGCAAATTGTGTGACAGTAGACCTTTTGTCCACTAGATGTCACTGTATTTGTACAAATCAGGGACTTTGAAGGCATATAACAGCTGCTGAGAAGATTCCGTGAATGGAGAATAATGTAGATTTCCTCAGGCCTGTGTCAGAGTTTGAGTTTAGAAGGCCTTTGCTTAGTTGTCCTGTATGAGGACATTGTTTACATGCCTTTTAATATTGTGGAATTTGTGTGTGACTTTCATAGAGGTAAATAGGAAGAATATGTCCCCTTTACATCTGTAAGCAGGCCGTTCACTATAGGTTAGTAGTATATGGGTGGTTGTGGTATCAGTAAATGTGTCCCCTTTGTTGACCTACTTAAGGGAATTGAGATGGCTTTCTACTGTTGACGAATTCTCATGTATGAAATATTTGTGGTTTAGAAACTTCTGTCTCAAATTGAGAACAAGCTGAGTGAATGTCAACCAGAGCAGCAACGCAAGGGCAAAAAAATCCTCATCCAAGAGGTAGAAGAGGAGGATGACAACAGTAACGACAAGACCAAAGCACAGCAGACTGGTGAGATTGTTCTAGTCCCTACACAATCAATAGCAATATTCTTGATTTACAGACACGGAGACTATAAACAAGCCAATGACCATTTATAATTCCCTGAGTGCATCCAACAATCGATCTTCATTGATTTAAATCTTCACTTTTCTTTATTTACCCAAAAATTCAATTTGATTATTTTTTTTCAGGTAGAGGCAGGACGGTTTGTTGAATGTCATGTGTTTACTTTATCATGGAAATACTGGTATTCGTATCATATATCACAGATTAAGGAACAAGATAGCTAGTAAAGAAATACAAAAAAAAAAGTACTTTTATCATTTGACCTCAAACATCTAGTGCAAGGCATGCACTAATTTATTGAACATAAAATACAATATTGAAATTTTACGTATGCCCTTTCAGAATATTCTCAAAGTATATTTTAAATCACCTGTATGTTTATATCAAACTGTAGTTTGTCTTTGTAGTTGTGCTTGATTTAGCCTCCGCTGTAGCTGCCAGGCAAGGGTTTTACCCTCTTCAACATTTCTGGTAATAGAAGGGCAGTCATTTTAATCACATACTCATCTGTCTGCCCTGCTATAGTTAGAGAAAACTCCCCCTGTCCCTCTGGGTAACGTGACATACAATGCATGCATGTGTGTTTTCCACCCTACCCCCACCCACGCT